TATACTAGTAGAGTCAGTAAAATGAATGAACTATAGTAATGAATGTCTCACCTCAGTCGTGCACTCGTAGTGTAGTGGACTGAGATATTAGTAACTCTGTTTGTATGTACTTGCGTGATTATGTAACCTGTACTTGCTGTATGGTAATCGATAAACAAACAACATGCCCACTCGGCGAGTTATCAGCAACTCAACACACCCATTCCTTCAATGAATCGTTTGTGCTTCTCTTGGCTCAATGCTTTCGTCAAGACATCTGTGACTTGCCAGTTCGTCAGCATGTACTTCAACTTGATCTCGCCCTTATCGACTATCTCGCGGATGAAATGATAGCGGATTGCAATGTGCTTGGTCCGGCTGTGGAAGACGGTGTTCTTCGCGAGGGAAATAGCGGATTGGTTGTCAATGAGGAGTAGCATTCTCTGGGGTTGAGGGAACTTGAGTTTGTCCAGGAAGGTATTTACCCAGATTGCTTCCTTTGTAGCTGACGCCGCTGCCATGTATTCCGCCTCAGTGCTTGACAGTGCCACGGAATCCTACTTCTTTGACTGCCAGCTCACTGCGCCCCCAGCCATTGTAAACACATATCCGGTTATCAAGCGTCGATCGTTTATATCTGATGCCCAGTCAGCATCAATGTATCCTTGCGGACTTGTCTCATTGTTTCCCTTGAAGACTAGTCGCTTCTTCGACATTTTGCACAGGTAATGATATACGCATCTTAGCGCACTCCAATGCTCCTCTCCAGGTGTCGCAGAGTGCTTGCTCAATGCGCCCACTGCAAATGCAAGGTCTGGGCACATTGCAAGCATCACATACATGATTGCTCCCAATGCACTTTGGTAAGGTCTGGGATCGGTCTCTGCAGTCTCCCGTTTGACTAATTTGATATTAGGATCCATTGGCGTTGCGACTGGTCGTGCATCCTGCATGTTGAAATGTTCGAGTATACTTTCAACATATCATTGTTGCGACAATTAAATTGTCTCTTCTCCCTGTCACATATGATCTCCATCCCTAAGATCCAGTGAGCTTCTCCAAGGTCCGTCAACTTGTACTCTCCCTTTAACTTTTCCTTGAGTTGATTGATGAGTTTTAGGTCCTTTGAGAATATCATTTTGTCGTCAACATAGATGGCTGCTATTATGTGAGTTCCGTTCTCAATTTTGAAGAACACGCTATGATCTGATTCACAGTGTGTATACCTGAGTCCTTCGAAAACAGTGTGACAATCATACCAGTGCTAGGCGCGTATGAGTGTCATAGGCTTATTTTGCCTTGTCTAGAGGAAAATGAGTAAGGCGCTAGTCACCAGCGCTATCATTCCCAAGTTATCCACTTTGGAACCACTTTTCTCCCATAGCGCTGAGGCGATCTCAACCTGGCTGGGCTGATATGAAATATCTAAAAATGCTCAACCAGTATAAGTGAGTCTTGGCTCTGCCTAGCTGCTATACTTGCAGAATGCAAGAACGTTCGACCCTAAAGGGGACTGCTACTGAACACAGAACCAGATGAAAGAAAGACCCTTGAAGTGTGATGGATGTGCGAAAGCGCAAGAAGAAAAGCGAAGTGAGTGCGAAGCGCGAGAGAGCGCACTAAGGTAAGCGCGAGCGTGGGAACGTGAGCGCTAAGGCGCGCGTTGTGCGGAAAATACCGGATAAGGAAACGGATAAGGAAGCGGATGTGCAAAGCGAGTGCAAACGCAGAGCGAGTGTTATAACGAGCGTGGATAAAGGTCTAGTATAGGTGGATAACGATAACCATTGGAAACACAAAGTGCGCCCAAGTGGTGACTACTACTTTAAAGTAAAACCCAATAGCGAGGGAAGTACAGCAAAGGGGAGTAATAATGATGAAGTAGTAAGTCAGCAAACTTTATACTATGGAAATCGCATCAGAAGCGGAAGGGATAGGAGCAGTAAGCGCTAAAAATATGTAATGACATGTAATAGCACTGCAATGCTTGTTACAAACCACGAGGCAAGGGATATGACGTACCAATGAGGTGGATGGACATAGAGGGACGTTCCTGGATGATAGGCGATGCAGGGCGCTTAAGCGCGAGAAAGCGCACAAGGTATGCACGCGGGAATACTGCGCGTTGTGCAGGAAAGTATCGCGCCTATGGCGCGTTTCACAGGAAAGTGGTGCACTCTATAGGGAAGTCATAGTGGATGATAGTGCGAGTCGTGCAGTAAAGGCCAGTCATCAGAATTCATAAAATGAGCCCATATGAGCCCACAGAATTGCGAGTCTCTACACCGGTCCGACGCCTAGGTATTCCGTCCTCCCATGTCCTGCCTATGTATGTCCACCTACCTCCGCTGGTGCGTTATTTTTCCTTAAATGTCGCTACTCATCAATCACAGGTCTTATTACATGTATCCTCGTGTTCCACAGCACAGCATGTTTTATTACCTGTCGCTACATTGTGCCCTTGCCAGTGTCACTACTATACTCGCCTACGCAATTCCAAACCTTTATGCAGTATGATAAATTGACCCGTCGCACATACAGTACAGTACTTCCCTTCCCCGGACCTTTGCTGGTGTCAGAATCACTTTAGTTGCTATATCTCAGTCTTAATGCAATCGATTCTGCTCTTGCCAAATCTCTTTGATCGCATGTCGCTTGACTTGCTTTAAGTGCATGTCGCTAAAGTTCCCTCTTAAGTTTGACTTTTGCAACGTCAGGATCACTATCGGTAGTTGAGCTATAATCTAGTCGCTACCAGGCATTTCACTTGCACTGTCTTACCTTACTTCTCGCTCTCGCTCCCTTTGATTTCTTCTCGCTGTCGCTAGTTGGACGTCGCATAGCGCTATCACATAAAACAACTTGCATAGCGCATCTCACTTAATACGCACATTTCTCTGTCGGAACCCACTTGTCGCTGATCACTATAGCGCTACTCATTAGTTTTTGGTCTTAGGTCGCTATAGGTTTTTAGCCCTTCGCACTATCGCTTCCCTTGCTTCTTAGTAGGGAGTTGCTTCAATAGCAGTCCTCTTGGGTTGAATACTACACTCACACCTATTTGGATAAATAGTGCTAGTTACTAACAGCCTAGTCACTATTTCTCTTTCACAGTGCCTTCAGCGTGTTTCTTGCGCTTTCACCGCCATTCACCAGGGTTGATCAGCATCATTTCGTGGATCCTTGCTTTCTTTGCTTCCCTTAAGGGTTGAACATATCGCATGGCATATCAAGACCCAACATAGAGAGTGTTTGCTTGTCATCTGACTTGCAGTCACTTTTGTTGTGTTACCCACAACAGGTATGGGTAACCCGTGCGGGTCACGGGTACGGGTACCACTGGGGTATGGGTGGGGGTCGGGATTCAAAAACCCGCATGCTAACCCCATACCCCTGGCATACCCATGCCTTCCTAATGTGGTAATTGTTTGGTGTTCAGTTGTTCAAAGTACCACTAACACTTCCCCTTTATACTCGTACTATTAGATCTTATTGTTGCTGACTCTAGGTAATGCTGCTCTCAAAACTTAAAGGTATGTTTTTAAAATCTATGTATGTATGTACAGTACATTACTTACGAGTATTTACACCCTTTTTTCAATATCAGGCACTTGTCTGTGCAAAGCGCCACTATCCAACCTCAACCTCATTCTCCATCCTCTGCACTCATCCACACCCTGCTGCTATGCCCCTCCATCTTCTTCAACACAACACCTGTGAGTGTGTCAGTCCTCCTTTGAGCTCAACCCACGCTGATTGAAGTCCGCTGTTTGCAGGAGGTGAGTGTGTTGATCCTCCTTTGAGCTCAAGCCACGCTGATTGATGTCTGCTGTTTGCAGGATGTGAGTGTGTTGATCCTCCTTCAAGCTTGAGCCACACTGATTGAAGTCCGCTGTTTGCAGGAGGTGAGTGCATCGATCCTCCTTCGAGCTCAAGCCATGCTGATCGAAGTCATTTCCCGCTGTTCATAGCGTGAGTGTGTCAATCCTCCTTCGAGCTCGAGCCATGTTGATTGAAGTTGTTTCCCACTGTTTGCAGGAGGTGAGTGTGTTGATTCTCCTTCAAGCTCAAGCCATGCTGATTGAAGTCATTTCCCGCTGTTCGCAGGAGGTGAGTGTGTCAATCCTCCTTCAAGCTCGAGCCATGCTGATCGAAGTCATTGTCCGCTGTTTGCAGGAAGTGAGTGTGACAATCCTCCTTCAAGCTCAAGCCATGCTGATTGAAGTCGTTGTCTGCTGTTCGCAGCGTGTCGATCCTCACTTTTGCCCCGCCCTCGACACTCATTCATGCTCGTTTGTTCGTGCTTGTTCCCACTCATTCGCGCTGATTCACACTTGTTTGCGCTTGTCCATGCTTGCTCACGCTTGTCCACACTTGTCCGCACTCGTTTACGCTCGCTTATGCTTGTTCTCACTTGTTCGTGCTTGTTCTCGCCGGTTCGTGCTTGTTCTCGCTCATTCGCACTTGTTCACGCTCATTTGCAGTTTCAGTGTCTAATAAATTTATTATTTGTATATGGTACCCGTGGGTAAACCCTGCATGGGTGCAGGTACAGGTCAGAGCTCATTGTACCCGCCAAAAACCCGCACCCGTCAGAGCGGGTACAGGTGCAGGTAAGGCCTCTGATACCCGGGGGTATACCCGTGCAGTTCCCTACTGACCATAAGATACAGGGATAAGTCACAGCAGTATGTGGAGTCTGACCTTCAACACCCACAGGATGACCCATGCTAATCCCTAATTGCTAGCAATGACAACAATGACAATTCAGCAATTTAGACCTGTCAGCGTACATCACTGTCATATCTAATTAGATCAGGTATGTGGGAACTACAGGTGGCTGTGCATATCACTAACTGTCAGCCTAGCTAAATTAGGCAAGTGAACAAATCATGTGAATTGTTGGAGTGCCAAGGATAGTGGGTGACTAAGCTGTATGCCAAATCATGTCAATAATACCAAACAATAAAATCAATATATAACAGTGACCCAACTTAGGGTGATGATAAATCATTCCCTTCTGATATAGTTACCTGAAATCTCTTAGCCTCTCACCATACAGCAAGCAACCACATTCCCTTGGTGAATCTCAATTTCTCATCTAATATTTAATGAACTTACAAATCTTGAGGTAGCCTAAGCCTTGCTCTTTCAAATCTGGCTACCTAGCTTCTGTTGCTTTCTACTACAATGATGAAGCAATGGGCAAGAATGTATGACACACCACTTATGACACACCAATTTGTAGCTACACATGCAGGACCACATGTCAGTAGTATTGGACATATTTTGATTGTACCATTCCTGATCAAATGATTCTTTAACTTGCAGAGACAGGCTCTCACCAGTGGTATCAACTTCGCAGGTAGTCTCCCCAAAGACTCTGATTCCGAGTCCAAACATGACAAGTAAGTATTTATTTCGCCGCTAACTGTCTTCGAGTTCAATGTCCAAAAAATTTATATTACAAAACCACTACTAGGATGGTGCCTTCATCAGTCTCACCTCCTCCCAGTCCAAATGAAGCAGTCCCTCGACTATCTCGAGGTACCACACTAGTAGACGACGGAGGCACTATACTGCTTGAACACCGTGATCTTCCTTCATGGACACCACTAGTTGTTTCGGATAGCGAAGGCAGTATGGACGAGCTCCATTTAGGTGTGAAAGGCTCAAAAGCCTCGCCTTCGAATGCCAGAAAAACGCTGTCCCAGAAACGCCAAAAAGGTCCAGACCGTGGTCCTCCGCTTGCAGAGCCTCGACAAGAAGTCCAGCACGCGTCTTCGCGAACTTCAGGTGTCTACTCCGGGCCGAGGGATTCTCGCGGCTCCCAGAGTTTGCAGGAGACACTACAAGCAACATTCAGCGCCAATGGTTCATACAATATCTCGCCGCCAGTCGCACCTATTGACAGCGAGGGGAGCATCTCCGACATGCAAACTGTTATTTATAGCAAAAAGCGCCGCCGGATCCAGAACACTCGCAGAAGTACAAGTCAGGAAGGCTCTGAGGCTATCGCGGTAGCCGATACCCCAATATCCAATGCCACCACAGCAGTTCCGACCATCGCTCGGCGAAAAGCTGCGCCCGCCATTCCTTACGAGTCTATGCAAAATGTTATTGATGCTGCATTGGACACTCGAGTAGCCAAAATTACTTTGCGTCGTCGGGGCTATACCGGGCGGCCAGGGTATGACACCAACGAAGAGTCGCAGGACGGGACTTCAAGGACGAGGTCCTTTCCCTTCGAAGACGTCATTTTTGACTTCGATGTTCCAACCTCCGCACATCAGGGAGATCATCACAGCGAAGGGCCAGCTTCAGTCGAGGATGAACATCGTGCCTTGCCGCGCAAATTTACGCGAATGCTGGACGGTGTTCAAGCTACCGTTCTTCTACAGCAACCTAGAGGGGAGAAATTCAATGAACGACTGGATGCAATGTTCGGAGACGCAGACATACCTCGCTTGCCTGATGGATCAAACACTCACGTGAGTACCATGCATCGCAGACCAGAGATGAACACGAGCTGATATGTTGTAACCGCAGGCAACCGCAGATTCGGCGTCCGTCCTCGCGCCGGCGCACGAGGTTGCGGCAAGCAAAGAACACAGCCCCATCTCATCCGATTCAGGACCATCAGTTGACACGTTGCTGTCGCAAAGCACCAAAGCCACAAGTGTTTCTGGGGACAATGACGTCTCTAAAAAGAGAGCTCATACGGAGAGCCGCCACCTTGAGGATGAACCTGTTCGGAAGAAGCATAAAATTGAGATTGCCGAAGACCAGGTGTCCGAATGGATTGCGGCGTTGCAACGACTTGTCAAAGGAAAGACGAAGATTGGCCACAAGGTACGGAATGAATCTCCGACATCTGCATTCTGTTGTTTACATATATCAGGGCATGGAGGATTTGAGCATAGTGTTGGCTGAGATAGAGTCTGTGTACCCGCACCTGGATTCAGAACTTGCATCGGTTGGTCAGTTTTAATGATTCATTGGCAACATTCTCAGCCGGTCTTCCCGTGTTTAGGTCACTTGTCTTCATGACGTCTTGCAGCAGCTAGCGCAGTTGGAAGATATTCCACTCAGAGACGAGCATGACCTTCGCCGCCGCACAGATGACATTATCGCAGAGTGGCCGAGTGTCAAAGCCTAACTGACACATCCATGGGGAGGTTTCGAATAGTTTTTGGTGCGTTGCGTATATTACCTGGGGATAAAATTTTATACCCAAGTATGAAACACATACAAATTTCGTTCATCAAATTTGTTGGTAGTTACCGATTAGGTCTTGCTGTTGATTGGGATACCGAGCTCGCGCTCTTTCGTCCGTACAATATTGGGGTAATAATACAGAAATGTATCGTAAACTAAATTGGAATGTACACACATTTCAATGGCTACTAGCTTCTTCAATCTGACGTCTCCAGCGCTTCTGGATATCGATCATTTCTAGGAATATATTGTATTTGGCATCTAGTATTTTCTCGACTGTCGACGACGCTCCAGGGGCCACGAGGGTACCAGCAGGTGTCATCTCGACCTGAATGGCAAAAATCAGCATCTATACTCAGCAGAATGCACAGGACATCTTACCATGATCTTCCACATGTCTTCTCCGTCTTTAGCACCCTCCGCTGCAATCCTTCCCAGCATCGCTGCACCAAGAACCACCGCCTCAGAATACGACTTGGGCAAGATGACGGGGATGCCACATGTGTCTGCAAAGAGCTGCATTATCACCACATTCTTTACCTGCCCACCAGAAAGATACAGAGAGGTGATGTCATGCCCTGCCGCGTTGAGAGCTTCAATGATATGGCGTGTTTGAAGGGCGATAGCTTCCAGGGTAAGGTAGTACTTGCGAGCGAGGTCGGCTATAGATGCGTCCTGAAGCAATCAAGATGAGTTGGTCGAAGTTCTCAATCGAAGTAGCAACTTACCAGCTCAAGACCGACAATGGAACCTCTCATTCGAGAGTCGGCAATTGGAGACCTGTTTCCTGTGATAGTTGTGAATAAAGATGCTAATATCGAACTGTAGCTTATCTCACCATGGAAATCAGGATAGAAATGTAGATCCTTCGTAAGCTCCGTGTAGGTATCAACATTATTCTCGTGCCGCAACTTTTCGAGGACGTCCAGCAAGACTATAGACGCTCGTCAACACACTGTTTGGGCTGCTCCAGCATGAAAAGCTACACGAACCAACATGCATACACTTTCCCTCTTGCTTTGCACGTTCTTTGAGTTCGGGATACGCGGTGTGAGTGGTGATGATAAAGTCGATAAGCTGTCCCGTAGACGACTGGCCCCCTTCATTCATCCACCAACCAGGGAAAGCTGTGTCCTATGGGATTGTACCATTAAGACACCGCATGTTATGCAGAATGGCAATGGTATACCCTATATGGGCCCCATACACCCTTTACGAAGACACTGTCCCGACTCTGCAACAATGTTGACGTCCGGATGAAGATGGATTGAGCAAGATGACTTACTTGAACAATATGGCCAGTGCTCGTTCCGGCAACGATAGCCAAACGGTGCCGAGACTCGTCGAGAGAAGGAAGCACGTTTGAAAGTTGTCCATTCTCCGTGTATCGAGCGGCAACTGTGCCCATCCAACCAGCATACCTAGCACAACGCCAATAGCATCCACATTGCAATAGGCATATTGATGGAATGTGACATACCCGTCAATCAGACCACTTCCAACAGCAGTACCTTCCACAAGTCCAAGTTCTTCAGCCGCCTTTTTAGATAATCCTCGACCAACTGGGCTTCCGGCAGTCTGCACTTTCCCCCTGGCGGCGCCCATATGCTTCCAGTTATCATCATCGACGAGTTCACCGAGACCAATGCGCTCAAAGAAGTCCGGCTGCCAGCCTTTGTCGGGAACATAAGAGCACTTGCACGTAACCGAACAAAAGGAGCGTGTGTTATCTCCAGTTGCCTTGTATGTGAAAAAATCGGGAAGATCAAAAAATTGGCACCGGGCGAACAGAGCAGGGTCCATGCGCTTCTTGAGCCAAAGAATCTTAGGCACCTCCATCTCAAGCTGCTCCAAAATTAGAATTAGCAAGGTAAACCGGACTCGTAGCCGCTACATACACTCATGGTTCCGCCTACATAATTCAAGACGATCGACCCAGTGGAGTTGATAAGTTCAGCTTCCTTCTCGGCGCGATGGTCCGCCCACAGAATGACGTTCCGATCGCCATGAATGCCAATACTGCTGCCCTTGGTCACTGTTATCGGATTCCCGTCGAAATCCGACACAGCAAGAGAGCAGGTGGCATCGAAGCCAAGCCCCTTGACTGCGGTCGCGGGAATGTTAGATTGCTCCAATATTTCCTTTACCGCGGTACAAATCTGCTCCCAGATATTGTTCGTGGATTGCTCGAAGATACGGTAATCGTGCCGATCACGCCAGGTGATGGTATCCTTCGTGGAAGACGCTATTATCTCACCGTTTCGTGCAACGAGAGACGCGCGAGCTGAACCGGTGCCGATATCAATGCCGATGAAGTAGGGAGTGTTGCAACTCATTGCAACAGGTGAGACTATGGTGGCGGTCAGGGAGTGACATGAGCAAGCACACGGTTTAAATCAAGTTGGAATACCCATCAGTGACTAGTGACTGTCAGTAAGTAGTACGACATTGGACCCTGGGTTGTCAGAGTTGAACCTAAGTCGACTGCACTTAGTCGACTTTGCTTGATCTAGATGGTTCATTGCGCTATCATTATGATGTTGATATGATGGGCCGTTCCATGGGGTCTTTCTGGCCATAGCAGGTTAGCCAAGGACGCGTTATTCGGTTAATCGAGTGACCGGGCGACAGTCGAGACCTATGATCAATCAAGTTGTCACAAAAGTAATTGGACGAGACTGTCCTAGATAGCAGACATTCCCGTGTCTTTGTCTTGGCCCATTGCCTGCGGGCCTGTGCAAATCGGCATGACGAATGTGCCGCAGACAATCTTCATCATGTGCCACCTTTATGAGCGGAGATGACGGTCTGTCTAGCGAAGTGACGGAGCCGGCGCTCTGCCTTTTCCCACTCGAGTTTCTCATCTCGCTAGCAGGTACGCTGTCCGCGTCTTGTTCACTCGAGTTTCGAGTTTCGCTAGTATAGCAGAAATTTGTGCACCCGCCCTGATTTTCCAACATTGCACAATGTTGTACTCAGTCACGCTGCTTGGGCCTGGCGCTGTACGATACGTATTGTGTTTGGAGCTATTTGTCTCCCGATCTATGTATATCTTCGTTATCTACCACGATTAAAAATAATTTATCTTTTGTAATCTTATCTCTACCCTTCTCGTAGTTTATGTAATTACACAATCTTCTTGATCTCTGTCATCATGTCTTCAACAACGCGTCCAATCGTTTTCATGGATATCAATATCGGAGAGACACCAGCAGGTAGAATTAAAATGGAGCTCTTCAGTGACGTTGTCCCAAAGTTTGCGGCTGCCACCTGTAGCTGTGTGCTGTTCTGATCAAGTTTGCAGAACTGCTGAGAACTTCAGGCAGCTCTGCACCGGCGAATGCAGGTACGTCCAGGCCATGAAGATAAACAATTCTTTATAACGCCTCGAGATTAGACGTGATGCGCGACCTCAGGGTTACAAGAATGCGACTTTCCATAGGTAATCATCATCGCGACCTCGAGTGATCGACCTTCGTTGATGGATTCTGGGCAGAGTGTACGATAGCATCTTCTTAATATCCATGATAATTAACGCGTGCACCTCAGTGTACCGAATTTCATGTGCCAAGGTGAGCATATTGTAACAATATTTTTTCGGCCAGCCCAATCCCATGCCTGCTTGTAGGTGGAGACTTTTTGAACGGTGATGGAACAGGATCGTTCTCGATATACGGAAAGAATTTCCCTGTAAGTGTACTTACGCTCTTCATGGTGGGCGCACAAGTTGACTCTACGATACAGGATGAGAACTTCCAAGAGAAGCACACTGGACCTGGCCTGCTTTCTATGGTTTGCTATGTCTTCCACGTTCGCAAACATTTATCTCATAATGATTGGTAGGCAAATTCAGGCCCAAATACAAACGGATGCCAGGTATTGCTCTTCACGATTCTGCAATTCCACTTCGATCTTAATCCTCGCAGTTTTTCATAACCACAGCAAAATGCGATTTCTTGGACGGAAAGCATGTGGTTTTCGGCAAGGTCATCGACGGCATGTTGACGCTTCGTAAAATCGAGAATGTCCCTACGGGACAGAACAACAGACCAAAGCTAGTCGTGAAGATCGTTGGTATGTAGTTGATTTGACGGCTTCGGAAAGGTGTCTCATGTCTATATCGCAGAGTGTGGGGAAATGTAACCGCCTGTTCACAAAAGCATCAACAGGAAAATGAATGCAACTGATAACCTATTGGAGTCGGGAGGCTTTCGAGTTCATTGGACCCATACATTGAGGACTCTTATCGCATCGGCGAATGTAAACTTAGCACAGACGACATTCATTGCATGTACTCTCTTCGTGATTCACTCTTTTACTGAATAAATGGCGAGAATGCAAGACGTTCACGAGGCCTAGAGCTTTGGTTCATTCAGTGCCAGTCAAAAGCATAGATTTTGGTTGTGGTGGAAGATACATGGGCTCATGAGTGGCCATAATGAATAAAAGACTAGTAATCTAGTCTGATGCGGTTGTCAACCGGGCTAAATTGAAAGTTGGTCAACCTCATCCATAATATAACATTGGGAAGAACGCACTGTAAATGAGTTGACCAGAGTGGTGCACAATGCGCTTGATCAAGCCCTCCTTCTCCAGATGTCTAATGGCAACGCGTGCCAGGCTTCCATTGACCTTCAATCGCTCAATGAGAATGCTCTGGCTGATGAGACGCCAGGTGGGAGCTTCCTTCATGATACGGTCGAATGTAGCTTTGTCACAGACGACGGCGTGCTGGGCCTTGTCCTTGACCTTTCCCTTCGACCACTTCTTCTTCTTAGCAGCCTTTCCGCCAGATGATGATGGTGGTGGAGCTTTTGCTTTGGCCTAAATCGAAGGTAGTTAGCACCACATCCACATACTTTATATGACATCCAAGGGGTGCAACACTCTGGACATCCTGCAGTCCAAAGAACCGGCATGTTTCATGCTTTCTACCCTGGAAATCATCATCAATGGAGGATACTCACCATAATGTCGTGGCCTCTTCGTCGATGTCGATGAACTGCACCTAGGTCTGGCCTGACCGCCAATCTGTCGGCGAAATCCGGTTATTGAGGCGCCGCATAAAAATCACTGACGTAATTGTGGCACCGATCACGTTGAGTTGAGTGGGAGAGAGTTAACGAGTATCCCACTGAAATTTGGGTCGACAATGCATCCCTGGCTACTCCTCACCCTCGCCCTTCCATCATTAGCAGCACTCGACAAGTCCCACGGCGTTCCTCCCTCCCTCGTGCCGAAATACGTACCCAGCACGAGGGGTTCGCACCAAACATGGACGTGTTTAGACGGTTCGAAGGAAATTGCCTGGAGTGCAGTAAATGATGATTATTGTGATTGTCGAGATGGCAGCGACGAGCCAGGTGCGAATCCGGGTGGTTCTGGTGAGGTAAACTAAGTTGTATTGACGTAGTTCTATATTCTGTAAGGCACGAGTGCATGTCCCAATAACAAGTTCTACTGCCGCAATGAGGGCCATATTGGGGCAATTATACAAAGCTCGCATGTTAACGATGGACTTTGCGGTAAGTTTGCAGATGTGGTACCGTGAGTTCGTGATACTCATTTGAATGTAGAGCAGGAATGTTGTGATGGATCGGACGAGCCCTTGGGCATGTGTCCGAACACTTGCCAGGAAGTCGGAGCAGAACACAGAAAGAAGACAGAAGCAGAGCGCAAGCTGCGAAGGACTGGATCCAAGATACGATCTTCATACATTGCGTATGCACATAAGGAGCAAAAGCGCTTGGAGGCACTCGTTGCTGATATTGCCAAAGAGATTGGAACGAGAGAGAAAGAGGTGGAGAGATTACGAGGTATGTTAGTTCAAGAGTCGGGAGCTTTTGTGGTAACACAGCGCTTTTCAGATATTGCAAAACGTGCAGAATCCCTCTCGGCTGCTGAGCTGGAGCGTAAGAAACAGTCTCGTACGTGTGTCCTGACATACTCCCTGCAATCTTGACTCACAAGTGTGTTGCAGCCCTCTACCAGTCACTCCTCGTACATCATACCGCACTCCAGTCCCTTCAGAAAGAACACAAGAAGCACCTGGAACGCGAGAAAGCTCTTGGTGACATCTTGACCTCACTCCGCGCGGGCTATAACCCTAACTATCAAGATATGGCCGTCCTCGAGGCTGTGCGTGGCTGGGAGGCACTAGCAGGATTACCTCACATAAACGACGTACGCAAGGGTGACGATGGGGAGGCTGGCACTACCGCGGAAAAACCGAAAGCAGAGGACAATGTTGAAGATGAAGGTCTCTGGAATGCAGCAAAGATCGAGAAGGAGTTGGATCAGTTATTGAAAACAGATCATGTGACGCTGCTGCTAGAACATGACCAGCTTGTCGGGCCCGCTTCTGCCCCGTCCCTATGTAAGTTAAAAGTTATTGCTGGTACTGCAAGAAACTGACCAGTTTTTAAGTGCTTGACATCTCGGCCTACCTTCCAGACGCTCTGCTCCCATCCTATCATAGTTTCCGCGACTCGCTCCTCTCGGCTCTCTCAGTTTTCGGGATCGGGCGCGGAGGCACATCCGATACGTCTGGTGGTAACTATATGGACCTATGTGACTGAATGTATGTGCTGATACCACCTTAGAATCAAATCGTGCACGTGTGGCCCTTTCGGATGCGGAACACAGTCTCAAGTTGACCCAAGACGAGCAACGGACTGCAAATGAGGACCTCCTAGATCTCTTTGATCCCGAGGGCTTTGGTCCAGAAGGCGAGTGGAAAAAACTTGAGGGCTTGTGCCTGTCAAAGGATGCCGGAGAGTATGTGTTGTTGCTTCGAACTACTTGGAAGTATACCCACGTTTCACAGTTACACTTACGAAGTTTGCCTCTTTGACGAGGCGAAGCAAATTCCCAGTAGCGGTGGTTCTGGCTTCAGTCTCGGGTATGTTATTTAGGAATAAGTGCTATGAAGGTACTCATCTATGTGCCTTCCAGGAAATTTTCGTCCTGGAACAAAGCTGCTCAACCTGGTGAGCCAGAATATTATACCCGACAGCACTATACCCAGGGGGCCAAATGCTGGAACGGCCCCCATCGCAGCGTCGAGGTAAATATTGCATATTCTATATTCTCCCCCACAACGTTGATTTGCTCTTATTAGCTCGTCCTTACATGCGGCACTGAAAACACGTTACTGACGGTGGCAGAGCTGGAAAAGTGCGAGTACCAAATTACAGGAACGACCCCGGCATTATGTCGCCCACTGGAGGACGAGCACACCAAAGACGAACTGTAGACTTTTTGGCATTAAGTCTAGGTACAGTACCTCTGCATGCATGTAAGTATTTATTACGTGGTCAGGTGAACACGAAGTTCTACTTCCACCCCCTCGGAGCACGAGTTCTAATCAGAAAACCTACTCTCCGAATTCGTAAAAATACGATCGATGGAAATATCAATGCACACTGGCTACAATATCTCCACTGGCCTGACATAGTCCATCATGTTGCAAACAGAAGACGTGTCTTTGAGTTGTGCAATGATATCGTGATCCGATGCGGTTCTCATGTATTCCCCTCCGCGTTGCTAGCAAAATTGCACGAAAATGTTGTCCAAGGCAAACGATGAGTCGCAACGCTGGTAAATGAGACTGGGAAGTCATTAGGTTCGCCTTGCCAGAAAACCCGCGAAAAGGCTGCCGAAGATGATCAATCAATCGCAGAGCTGGCAAGTCCGAGTCAATCAGTGCATTCTCCACAGGGGACTCGTGTACGGAGATGTGTGCCATGCTCTGCGTATTGCCTGCAAAGTCAGGCAGGTCAAGGAGGTGACGATCCCACGTGCGGACAAGGAAGAATGTCTGCCCAGTGACAATGGCCCGCGAGAACGGAATGAGCTTGTCTTCTGTAGTGATCAACAGGTCGTGAGGCCCATCTGCCTTGACTGCATAGATAAGGTATATCTCCCGGTCTTGATCGGGCATCCGTCTCATAGCAGTGAGACGGAATGCGATGCAAGGCAACTGTAATCTGCAGTTCGCAAAACGAGGAACACTAATGGTGCCAAGCAGGGTATAAAGTTTCGAAGCTGACTTCACAGTCACGGTATTTCGGAGTGAGGAAACTGGTGTCTGAACCTCATCTTCGGAAAGAGATAGCAGCATGCATGGCAGAGCCTGGTATGTAGGAATGTCAGCTGGCAGGCAGCTATTGAACTCAGATGATTTTCCGACCCAGTCCAAGGTGCTTATGTCGCCCGACCGAGCCACGATCTCCTGTAGGAGCCGCCCAAGTGGATTTTGCTTCTTCTCGCCATAAATTGGAGGTAAGTGGACACCGAAGATGCCGAACAACGAGTATGCAATATCTTCCTGCAATGTGGTGATACGCCTTGGTACCCATTGGAGTTTCTCTCCAGCATTTCTCATCCCAGGATGGAAGGCGACGAGCGCCCCTGAATCTATTCCCGTCGCATCAGCCAACTCCTGCATGATCACAATGGACTCTTTGTAATTAAAAGACTGGCCGTCAAGATATAGGTTCCAATCCTGTTCGTAGAAGAAAATGGCGATTTCCCGATTATACATGTATCACGGACTCTCGCATACATAGGGAATATCTGAATCAAGCATGCTCACATTGCGTTACATGAGAATGGGTACAAACTTACCTTGGGATCTAGCAAAGCATCCACCGGCACTGCCCACTCTCAGACCTTCTTATCAAACCCTCCGGTGAGGACGCATTTGTGTATTTCCTCTTCTTCTTTGTCTTTTTTCTTTCTTTTATAAAGAAAAAAACAAAAAAGAAGACGACGACGGAGCACACTGCGTCGGAGTGCCGGAACGAGGCAATAGCTTTTCGATCTGAACGCCACCAGACACAGACACCGTTGCAGTTGTCATAAGATGCAGAGGAGAGCAAAGTACCAGTAGAGTTCATGACAATGGCGCCAATCTGGTGAGTATGGCCTGTTCAGGGACCACCAACTTGCTTCCAGGTCGATGTATCCCACTCCCGTATAGTGGGATCGAACATATTGCCTGCTGAGAGAAGCCGTGTGCGAAGACATAAGGCGGAATTAGAGCAGACGGAAAAGTGGCTTGCTGGATGCCAGCTCGAAACCAGCACGAGATCAAGTAGTAGCACCTGGGGACCTATTGGCGGTTACTGAGCCAACGAACGGTCGTTTGTACCGAAGAGCGAGTATTCAGCCAGTAGAATGATCCAGAAAGTGCATTCCTGTTTGGTAGATGATTGAGGAGATCATGACCGTCTCAGATAATTTGCAGTATGGACATTTATGTAAATTGAGGTTACCTCATGATCACCTGCTTCAGGTCAAGACCATTTTCCTTTGCAGTTGATATGCGCATTCAGATCTCAGATACATAGTTGTTGCAACGTTAATGATTTGTTCGTCAGTCGCTACATATAGACCGACCACAGGTCCTACCACAGCATGTAGTATGTGCTATATGCGATACGATCCTACCGAGACTCTGATTCTTTAATGGCTCACCTACACTGCACTTCCTATTCATATTCCGACTCGACATATCCTCCACACCTTGTATAGATTTGTCCATTCATCCATCATGGTGTTACAAAGCCCGAGTTGGAGCAATATTAAGACGAGCTACCTACAACGTAGCAAGCAGTATAAAAATTGTACATGTATCTTTCAACGGAATGGCTGGTTGTGTGCCCGTCAATGCATCGCCAGCCTAACGTGGATACAGCTCCTCTGTTTAAAAAGAGAAATCAAGAAATGCCATTTAAAAAAGCAAAGCAACTACCTCTCACGAGAGGGGTGCCAGAGAGTCAACACCGGAACCAGCATAAACGCAGTCCATCTTCACATCCGGCAGCGGGTGATCGCTCGTCCCTTTGTAAAAGTGTCAAAGCAGTAGCATCGTGAGCACATAAGTACCCTACCAGCATGACAGTACGGGATTCCGTCCTCCTTGTGTCCCCACCACATCACAGGCGACCACTCGTCCACGAGGTCGGCGAGCGTCTGGAGGTGGCCGTATGCAGCCGGCTGGGGACCACGCGGTCGGCGCAGCGCGACGAAAGTGAAGAAACAGGCAAATATCAACAGCGCTATGCATAAGTTCCAGATCTGCACGAGGTTGTGAGGACGTCGTAGGAATTTTACATAGGCAGTAAGTGCGAACCTGGGCAGTGTTCATGTATACATACGACCCTCCTAGTTTCTCGTCGGACACTCAGTTAAATATCATGAATGAAAGCCCAAACATCCAGTCTGGGATCCTCGAGGATGGTGTTCAATAATATCTATAAAAGAAACTAGACCTCAATGACTCACGCAGGAAAGGCTTCGCAACGAAAAGTACAAGACAAATCGGCTGAGTGAAAATTGTCTTCACTGGGTTCATTGCCGTTCTAAGTCCTTTCCTTCCTGTAGCGCATCTCCACTGTCTTTCGTCTCGAATGACATTCGCGATGAGCTCCGAGCAATGCAGCCCAAGTGTCAAGGGCCCCTGTACAACTGCTATGTTGAAGAAGAGCAGAATCCACACCTCAAGATTGACACCCGGCATAGGATACGAGATGTAACTGGACGACTGGTTGGGTAAGAACGACCACGTATGTGGGGTCATCGGGATGAAGCCAGGACCACTGTTGGCCCGGTCCGAGATATACGTGACGAGTGTAGCCCATCCAGCGCATGCTGCAACGATCACCCAAAGAGAAATGATAACTTTCCGGATGCTAGGGTGAGCATGCCACGCAGAGGGCTGTATCTCTAGTGGCTTCACTGGACCAACATCCGTGTCTAGGTCAGACACACAACACATGCACCGCGAAGTAGCATGGGTCAATTGCGTGTGGTGGACCAGTGCGGCGGTCAAGTCGAAAGGTGAGGAGCTCCACGTCAATATTTTGACAGCCCGTATCGCTGATAATGCGATCATCGCCTGGAGAAGGAGTGCGACACCTAGAACGAGGAGAGGTATCCCTGCGATGGCGATGGAGTTGGGGTTGGTGATGGAAGGATCATCAGATGTGAAGTCGAAACATAGGATGAGTGAAGCCGAGCTGTAGGATATAATGAGGAGGACAGCCGAGATACCATTAAATAGGGTGCCGTTAGGGCTACACCATCCACGAGCTGCAGTCAGAAGGCGCAGATTAGTGTTGAAATGAAGTTGAGGCTCTGAGGCCAGCGCAGAGCGCAACGAGATACCGTGTACGAGGCCTATAGACTCGGTGCATAACGTGATGATTAAGTTAAGCGCCAGTGCCAATATCTCCCCCCGCAGGGCCAACAGATTATCACTCGCATTCAGTGCGAGCACGTCGGTTGCTCCGCGGACTCCGTTATTGGCTAAAGTGACAATGCCTGCAATGATGCATGAGCAGCTGAAGATAGTTGAGCATGCCACTCCGACAAGGGCATTTCTGCGACTCGTCAAACTCGGGTCGTAGAATTCGGTTCTAGTATTAACAGGGAACTTCGCATCAGATATTATCGAGTCAAAGTCCTGGTCATTCAAGAGTGCGTCATATGGATGCAAACTTTCATCTGTCCGTTTGAAAGAAGCTGCCATGGGAGGCAGAGACAGCAAGGGCCAGTCTCAAATGAAGAAAGGCTCGGACTATGTACGAAAGGAGAACTCAGTCTTCGGATTAAGAGACTCGTACTACGGCAATGCATACCTAGAAACGAAACGAGAACTATGTAGGTAGTTAGGATGAAAATATGCATCGGTAAATGCTAATACTCACCTCGGTCTTCGGATTGAGAGACTGAGGGGAGTTCGTTCTGGGGATGCCAGAATAAGAGAAACCTGTTGAAACGGAGAACGAAAAGTGCATATGTAGAACACGTGTAGCAATGAGTGATTGTGTATGCAAAGTGAAATACGTACGACAAATGGATTTGGATACAATGGGCACGCAGATTAAATATTATGAACATAGCTTCTGGTGCACAGATCCTTTCCGAGTGGACTTTGATATTGAGTAAGAGGTTCGCCAGTGTCGCCGTCCCATGCGATGATTTCTCCGTCGATATCACCACTTGTTATCAATTGCCCATCTCCTGATACTGCCAGCGCCCATACCCAAGCACCGTGCCCCTCCATTTTCTTCAAAAAAAACCCGTCCTTCAAGTCCCATATACGGAGCGTCTTGTCTGCTGAGCCAGTGACCATGCGTTGTCTATTGGGGAAGACAGCAACAGCGGACATGGTGTTTTCATGACCTTCAAGCACTCGAACGGGTAGGAGTGGGATCATGGGCTGGGCTGCTTCAGTCACTGAGTCATTTCCTCTGGAATATGATGGTGTTAAGCGCAGTCGAGGTCGATCAGACAATTGCCACTCCGAGTCTGAGCTGCAGGCGGTGCTGCATCACAGCGGCATTATTGCTACTAGTGTCTCGTTAGAGGCCTAAGGATCGGTGACATCACAGGCCCGCAAACTTCAAGTTGTGCCGCTGCAGTTTTGCCGATAAAAAGCTGCGCCCTAGATTGAACACTCAGTCGCTACTTGAAGCTTCATGACTGACCTTAATACTAGAAGGAAGTCGTTCCTTGGCTCCCCTTCCAGTCCTGTCTAATTATGACTATAATGATAGCCTGACTCAGTCTGAGCCGTGATCACCTTCACAGTCCTGACTCCTGCTCATGTACACCGGAGGGCTATGAACCTGAGTTTCACTCCTTGGATCTATCTGCCAGACACAGGGCCATGGATTTGAGGATTGCTGGTGTGGACAAGAAGACATAAGGCGGAATTAGAGCAGATGGAAAAGTGGCTTGCTGGATGCCAGCTCGAAACCAGCACGAGATCAAGTAGTAGCACCCGGGGACCGATTGGCGGTTACTGGGCCAACGAACGGTCGTTTGTACCGAAGAGCGAGCATTCAGCGAGTAGAATGCTCCAGAAAGTGCATTCCTGTTTGGTAGATGATTGAGGAGATCATGACCGTCTCAGACAATTTGCAGTCTCGTTTTCGTGGACATTTAAATTGAGGTTACGTCATGGTCATCTGCTTCAGGTCCGACAAGAGTCACAAGACCATTTTTCATGCAGTTGAGGGGTGGCCGATATGCGCATTCAGATCTCAGATACATAGTTGTTGATGGTTTGTTCGTCGGTCGCTACATATAGACCAACCACAGGTCCTACTACAGCATGTAGTATGTGTTATGTGCGATACGATCCTACCGAGATTCTGATTCTTTAATGTCGGCCAAATTCACCGGTATTCACATGCGCAGCTCACCTATACACTTCCTAGTCATATTCCGACTCAACACATCCTCCACAGCTCATAGAGATTTGTTCATTCATCCATCACGGTGTTACAAAGCCTGAGTTGGAGCAACATTAAGACGAACTACCTACAACGTAGCAAGCAGTATAAAATTGTACATATATCATTCAACGGCATGGCTGGTTGTGTGTCCGTCAATGCATCGCCAGCCCAACGTGGATACAACAAAAAGAGAAATCGAGAAATGCCCTCTAAAAAAAAGCAAAGCAACTACCTCTCACGACCGGGGTGCCAGAGACTCAGCACCAGAACCAGCACAAACGCAGTCCATCTTCACAAGCGGCAGCGGGTGATCGCTCGTCCCTTTGTAAAAGTGTCAAAGCAGTGACATTGTGAGCATATAAGCACCCTACCAGCATGACAGTACGGGATTCCGTCCTCCTTGTGTCCCCACCACATCACAGGATACCACTCGTCCACGAGGTTGGCGAGCGTCTGGAGGTGGCCGGATGCAGCCGGCTGGGGACCACGCGGTCGGTACCGTGCGACGGAAGTGATGAGATAGACAAACATAAACAGCGCTATGCATAAGTTCCAGATCTGCACGAGGTTGTGAGGACGTCGTAGGAGTTTGACATAGGCAGTAAGTGCGAACCTGGGGAGTGTTCATGAATACGCCCGACCCGACTAGTTTCCCCTCAGAGATGTCGTTAGCTATCTGGAATGAAAGCCCAAACATCCAGTCTGTGATCCTCGAGGATGGTGTTCAATAACATCTATAAAAGATACTAGACGTCAATGACTCACGCAGGAAAGGCTTCGCAACGAAAAGTACAAGACAAATCGGGTGAGTGAGAATTGATTGTCTTCACTGGGTTCATTGCCGTTCTAAGTCCTTTCCTTCCGGTAGCGCATCTCCACTGTCTTTCGTCTCGAATGACATTCGCGATGAGCTCCGAGCAATGCAGCCCAAGTGTCAACGGCCCCTGGACAACTGCCATGTTGACGAAGAGCAGAATCCACAGCTCAAGATTGACACCCGGCATAGAATACCAGATGGAACTGGACTGCCCGTTGGGTAAGAACGACCACGTATTTGGGGTCATCGAGGTGAAATGACTGTCCCGGTGCGAGATATACGTGACGAGTGCGGCCCATCCAGCGCATGCTGCAACGATCACCCAAAGAGAAATGACAACTTTCCGGATGCTAGGGTGAGCATGCCACGCAGAGGGCTGTATCTTTGATGGCTTCACTGGACCTCCATCGGTGTCTAGGTCAGACACACAACGCATGCACCGCAAAGTAGCATGGGTCAATTGCATGTGGTGGACCAGTGCGGCGGTCAAGTCGAAAGGTGAGGAGCTCCACGTCAATATTTTGACAGCCCGCATCGCTGACAATGCGATGATCACCTGGAGAAGGAGTGCGACACCGAGAACGAGGAGAGGCATCCCTACGATGGTGATGGTGTCGATACATACGAGTGAAGCTGAGCTGTAGGATATAATGAGGAGGACAGCCGAGATACCATCAAACAGGGTGCCGTTAGGGTTATACCATCCACGAGCTGCAGTCAGAAGGCGCAGATTGGTGTTGAAATCAAGTCGAGACTCTGAGGCCAGCGCAGAGCGTAATGAGATGCCGTGTACGAGGCCTATGGACTCGGTGCATAACGTGACAATTAAGTCAAGCGCCAGTGGCAATCTCCCCCCACCCAGGAGCAACGGAAAATTCACTGCGGACATGTCGGTTGCTCCGAGGACTCCGTGATTGACTAAAATGACAATGCCTGCAATGGTGCATGAGCAGCCGAAGATAGTTGAGCATGCCACTCCAACAAGGGCATATCTACGACTCGTCAAACACGAGTCGTAGAATTCGGTTCTAGTATCAGCAGTGAACTTCGCATCAGATATTATCGAGTCAAAGTCCTGGTCATTCGGGAGTGCGTCATACAGATGCGAACTTTCATCTGTCGGATTGGAAGAAGCTGCCATAGGAGGCAGAGACAGGAAGGCCAGTCTCAACCGAAGAGAGGCTCGTACTAGAAGAGAAAGGAGAACTCGGTCTTAGGATTGAGAGACTCGTACCACGGGGCAGTGCATACCTAAAAACGAAACGAGAACTATGTAGGTAGTTAGTTAATATGAAAATATGTATCGGTAAATGCTAATACTCACCTTGGTCTTCAGATTGAGAGACTGAGGGGAGTTCGTTTTCGGGATGCTAGAATAAATGAAACCCGTTGGAGCGGAGAACGAAAGGTGCATGTGCAGAACACGTAAAGCAAAGAGTGATTGTGTATCTGAAGTAGAAATGCATACGACGAATGCGTTTTGATAGCCAGCGATGGACACCCAACACCCAAATTAAATCTTGTGACCATAGCTTCTGGTGGATCTGACTTTGTGATGGAAAGCGGTCGTGCGGCGCGGCATTTATGTGTATCCGGTGCACTGTTGATTTACGCGGCAATACTAAAAGTGCACATGTCAGGATGGTGATCGTTGAAAGCCAGTCAAGCCTAACCTCCTTGTACTGTACACATATCCTCGCACGATGCACAGACCTGCCGTTGTCTGTCAATTAAGTAAGGCCAATGAGAAACAAGATCAGAAGTCAAACGAGTTTGCAGGTGTGAATCATCGAAAGGTAGTAGAGTAAAGTACGTGCGACAGATGCATTTGGATACAAATGGGCCGCAGATCAACTCTTATGACCATAGCTTCTGGTGCACAGATCATTTCCGAGTGGACTTTAATCTTGAGTAAGATGTTCGCCAGTGTCGCCGTCCCATGCGATGAATTCCCCGTCGATATCGCCGCTTGTTATCAATTGCCCATCTCCTGATACTGCCAGCGCCCGCACCAAAGCACCGTGCCCCTCCATTTTCTTCAACAGAACCCCGTCCTTCAAATCCCACATACGGAGCGTCTTGTCTGCCGAGCCAGTGACCATGCGTCGTCTATCGGGGAAGACAGCAATAGCTGACACGGTGTTTTCATGACCTTTAAGCACTCGAATGGGTATGGGTAGGATCATAGACTGAGCTGCTTCTCAACACTATCAAATTCCAGCTGAAGTGACGCTGAGTAACTTCCACTGGTGTTGAGTATTCTGTGTTGATTGCCGCTCTAAGCTGCAGGCGGTGCTGCATCATAGCGGCATTATTACTACCAGTGTGTCTTTAGACGCCCAAGGCACGGTGACATCAGAAGCCCGCGAACTTCGAATTCAAGTTGCGCCGCTGCACTTTTGCAGACAAAATGCTGCGCCCTGGATCGAAGACTCAGTCGCTACTTCATGCCCAGTGAGAACCGGACCTCACCGTATCGACGGAAAACGGCCAAAATATTGGTGAACCAGGAACACAAGATTTCCGTAGATTTCCGTAGAGAATGGGACATATGAGATTTTCTAGCGATGCTGTTCGACGGAGATCTCACGATTTCGCGCTGATTCTCGCATATGATATTTCCGTCGATGATCGTATATTATCAACTGTACATGTACTCGTACCAGGCAATAAAACTACGGAAATCGCACGAAAACGACGCTGATATGTATTGCAAGAACAAGCAAATGACAGCGCAAAAATGATAGCTGGTTGATACTGCCCTTGGCATCTGCGCTGGATGTCGACCGTGTTGCTGTTCCATTCGGATTCATATGCCTGCAAACATAAATTAATGCCGTGAAATAATAACTACCTGCTACCCACCTGCTCCGCTGCAACTGCGCTAGATGTCAACTATATTAGGCGTCGGATGATAATTTGCTGATGTCATTGATCGTGTCGCAAGTTCATATAAGCCTAAAGTCAGATGTTGCTGGAAGTTCTAGTCTTCTAGATTGACGTACCTCCTATTTGTTCGAAATACTAGATGTAGGTGATGCACAGGCACGGACAACAAGGATCCAGTGTTTAGGGTGGCATGGTAGACCAGGGACAGTGAATACTGGGGGCTTCGGGTCAGACTCAGTGATGCATGTTCATTCAGAAAGCTTTGTGCTGCGTGTACCAAGACAGCACTATCTTGCACTTAGGGAAGAGATTCATGCGCATATATGCGCTATAATAGATGTTTCAGCGAACATTCGAAACGAGTTAGGCGTATGCGAGTCACTTACTGATTTGCGAGCCAGGCCGTGCGGAGAATGATCAAACATAACGCACGTCATCTTTCTAAATATATGTGAAATTCACGATCTGCGTAGCTTTGAGCATATTTGTGAATATATCCGTCGTTTTCCGTCGATATGGTGAGGTCCGGTTCTCACTGGGCTTCATGACTCACCTTTAGTCTCCTGTAGTTAGACCTGGATCAGTGAACCTGAACAGATGAGATTGGTATTCATCGGATGGATGTAAGAAAAAATGCACAAGCACAGGTGCACGAAGCCAAATATGGAAACTGCATCATAGAGTGACCATGTGTATGGTGGACGATAGGTTACGGTTCGATTTGCCGATTTGCCGCGACTTATTTTGAAGGTCCGATCAATGTTTGTTCTAGTCCTTTGAATTATTTGTTAGTATACCTCATATTGCGTCACAGGAGGTCACAAGCGGTTGTGTACTTACATGGACATAGTTTGATCGCTTCAAGACTCGAGTACGGACCGACCCCAGCCTGGCTCAGACGGACTTAGAGACGATAGACGAAGCCTTGGTTCAAATATGGAGCATCAGTAGGCCAGTTGGGGGAACGTAAGAATGCAACTTGGCATACTTCTTTGAATGAGTGACCATTGATACACCTCCGTCTCGCAGCTGCACTCTTTCTTTGGGATCTGTCGTTCGCCGCCGACTACCTACTGTCCCCTCAAACCCCGTATCCCCTACTAGCTTGCCTACTTCGTCCGCGGTCTAGTTCAAGCTTATATATAAGCAGGTAGTATCCATTCAATGCTGCGAACTTCACTGACTTGCATCCCATTTGCATAGCCCTATCACGTTCCTTACTCGATGCCCAACCCTCAAGGAAGAAATGGGTATGCTATTGCTCGTAAGTACATTGATGCCAGTGCTAGCAGCTCTTGCAAATCTAATGCCTGAGTTGCAGCTTCAGATGAAGCTATACGACCGCTAGTGGAACGATTTGTTGCAAGTGGCTACACCAACCTAGAAATCATTTCTCGTCTTCGAGAATGCAATCTCGTTATATCGTATGTGTATCTAGTCAATTATGCATGCAGGAAAACCTTCTGACTTTGATGAGTGCCATGTTAGAATCAGCCTTCTGAAAAAACGCCGCTCGCAATGGGGGCTCAAGTCTTCTCGTGGTCAGGCGCACACAATTGATACCATAGGCCCTGCTATCGAGCGCGTTCGTAAACGCTTCCCAAAACAAGGCTCGCATGATATGAAGCAGATGCTTCTGCAAGAGGAGCACATTATGGTTTCAAGGTTATTCAATATCATGCTTTTGTTGTGGGTTTACACTCATAACATGGTTTTCAGAGACTTAATACTTCAATATATGAATCTCCACCATCCAGGCGAAGTTCAACTTCGAAAGAGCCGCCGGATTAAGCGCAGTACCTACTGGACTGCGGGCCTTCATGACATCTGGATCTTTGACCAGCATGATAAGTGGCGTCGTTTCCAATTGTTTTTGCATGTTGGCATAGAGCCGTTCTCGGGTCGAATTCTCTGGCTTAAAATTTGGTGGACCAACCATAATCCTCGTCTAATTTGTGGCTGGTACTGTGACACAGTTCAAACACTGGGAGGTATGATGCAGCAATTATCGCCTGGACACTCTGATTTCTTTCTTTCTGATTATCAAGCCATGCCTCTTGTGACCCAGAGTGATCCTGGCACTGAGAACAACGGCATTGCAAATGGCCACACAATGCTACGCCACCTTCAAGATCCAGCGCTCGCTCGGACGCTCCAGCACAAGTTTAAGGGGAAGCATCGTAATATTAAGCCAGAAATATTCTGGAGTCAATTACGCCGTCGCTGGGCACCAGGCTTTGAGGATATCCTTGACTTTGGTTTGAACAATGGCATCTATGACCCTGATGACGCCCTGGAGAAGTAGCCTTGTGGTTTTGAGATTCTCATCACTAACTAACACATGATGACGACAGGCTCGTGTTTCACTTCATTTTCATTCCCTGGTTGCAGGATGAGCTTGATCATTTTGCTGCGAGGTTCAACAACACCAAGCCGCGTTTCAATATGCACAAGATCCTTCCGCATGGACGCCCAAACGATATCTTCCATCATCCAGAAAGGTTTGATTCGCGGGATTTTTCTGTAAGTATAAGGCAATCTTGTAATGGCGGTTAAAGTAGTTGATTCGTTATATGCAGGTGAAAGTCGATATCCCTTCACTCGAGCTTGTCCGTCAAACATATGCTCCGCTGGACCATCCTGTGTTTCTCTTGGTACCTCGAGAGTTCTTCGAACAAGCCACTGCGTTCATGACGGAGCTTGGTCACACAGAAATCACCGGTGATAATATTTGGGATGTGTATGCTGAGCTTCTAATGTGCTTCCGATCCATCGAGGATGAGGATTGTGTTCAAAACATCATTGCTGCACGACCGGTGGTTCCTGAAGACAGAGAGGAACAGATCGAGAGTGAGAAGATGGATGTTGTAGATCTGCCACCATATATTGAGGGAGCAGGGTGCAGGACGATCACTGACGAATCTGCAGCTGGCAACAAGTCATCTGATGAGGACTCTGACTTCTATGATTTTGTCTGGACTGACGAGGAGGACTGCTAGATACTCTTACCACTGCAATGTGTCCATCAAAAATAACATTGTGTTGTGGATTCACCATATATCTCCGCCGATAGCAGCGGACCATGGTGGCAGATGCAGAGTTGCATGTGACATCTTCGGCTGTAAATGAGAATCACGGTGCATCAGGACATGATTTATGAATAGTCGAGTGAGTATCGTTTCACAGTTGAATGTTCCCTACCTGCTGTTAAGTCCCCTGCCCACTGTCTAAACCTTCTGTTTTTCTGCCGTCAGTGATATCAATGGCCGAATTCACTCCTGTCAACCCAACGGCTTGGTGGCTCTGTCAGCGCTGCAACGTTCAATTTGACTCAACCATCCCATTTACCTATGTACGCGGTAAAGGTGGTTCTGGTCGTAGATGCTGTCCTGGTTGTGCACAACACTATGAGGAGCGCAAAGCTATAGAAGAGCCACAAAACAGTGGGACAGGGATGAATATTGGTAAGTCAATTCATTGTGGATGCTCGTCACTATTAGTAATTCTCTATGTGGTAGACTTTACAGCTTCAGGTGCAGCAGGCCCTGTGGGGCAGCGTGAGCTTGTTAAGGCAACATCAGCAGCCCAACGAGGAGGTGCGAACATGCAGAGGATAGATATAACACATATTAATTGTAACAGAGAATCTTTTTTCTAGTCAGCGCTTTAGCAATTCATCGGTGGCAGCTTTTGGTCAAGTCAACCAAGATATGCCGCCTCCTCCTGTTCCATATCCACATGCACGAAACTCAGGTATTAAATTTCGCCTTTAATAGTCCATCGCATGAACAGCTCAATGACACAGATTTGTAGGTCTTCAAACACTTGGCACTGTAGGCTACACACCCAACCATGCAGTGCATCAACTCCATCGTAACAAGATGGCTCTTGCTGCATCTTCAGGGCGTGTACACCAAGTAATGATTCACATTGCTCTTCATCACCTCAAGCCTGAGGGCAAGTCAGGCACGGAGCTAGTTGGGGTACGTCACACATGTCTAGTGTTGTAAGGTGCTCACTTACAAGATCCATAGAACATTGAACGTGATGTTTGTGTTCCACTGAACATTACTCGAGCTCAGCTCCGTTCGATTGTGATTGATCAGCTTAATCCATTGTGGGCTGAATGGTCGCATGACTATAGTCTGTCGCTATACACTTTGGAGATGCATAAATCCCCAAAACTAATTTTATACAACCCAAGACGACCATCCGAGGATGCTCATGAGCCGATTCTTCAAGAATTCTTTGTCCGTTTGACAGCAAAAGATCCAATACCCAAGTTTCATGCAAATGTCCGTGTCACTATCCTTCTCATTATGTCATATACACAGTTTCAAGATGCGCTGGTCTGGCAAGAGAGATATAGTGATGTAGGTCTTTTTTAAGTTCCCACACTGTCCACCATGTTTACAACTGCAAACTTGAAATTCACAGAGGATCACCAATGCTACAAACACGAGTAAGGTAGTATCAGCATTTACCTTTCAGTCTGTTGCACCCGGGCCATCAAAGAAACATACTAAGAAGTTGATGCACGAGAATGGAAGCAGTCCTTCACCTCCACGCCCAGCTAAAAAATGTGCCAGGACAGTAGTGAGTTAAGGCCTCATACATACTAGCACTACTGACCGCTGATCTTTTACAGCACTCGCCACAGTCCCCCTCTGTAAAGTCCCTGTCTCTGATTGTTAATGAGATGTCCGAGTCACAGACAGACACTACCCAAGTCAAGTCTACAAGAAACCGCAGCATTAGCCCTGCCAAGCTGGAATCCTCGCATATTATAACATCACAACTCTGCTTGCCCAGCCAATCCCAGGTGCAGGAAGCGATGCAAGCACAAGGAAATATTCACAAACAAGTGTCTACTATCAGTGAGTAGCAGTTCTTCTCGATCATCGACCAGAGCTCACCAATCTAAGTACAGAATATGTCTCTACAAGCTTTCGTTTCTATGATATTCCTTGTATCAGCTTCACAGATCTCATTGCTATACCTTTCACCATCACACATCGCCAGCATACCATCGCCACCCTTGCTATAGACACTAATGCAAGGTCAATGATTGGCATGGCAGGAAGTTTCAAAACATGTCATCCCGCTATGGTCTCTGTTACAGGTACTTCCAGCTCGCCCCCACTCTCTATTCTGTCAGCCACGCAGCTCGTTGCCAAAAGAGTCTTCTTCCGGGATAACCAAGTGAAAGGGCAGCGCCGGTTTGGAAGAGAGGACGAACTTAGCAAGACACTTGACGAAGTAAACTGCTTGTACTGGGGTGGATCCTTAGTTGGGATGGCATATACATTTGTTGACGAGATGCTGAAGACTGGTAAAGTGAGCCAAGATGTTGTGGATCTGATACCACATCTTCGTGTTGTTCATGCTGCACTGGCTATCCCCAACAATCCTGATGACAGCCTCAATGCTATCTATCTTGTTGAGGAGAAGATCCACGGCAGATTCGTCAAGTATATCAATAACAATTCCGCTGTTCCTGCTGATAGCCTTCAAGGCCGAGAAGTAGTCATTGGATTGTTCCTATGCTTCGTACAGCATGTCCAATATCAGCTTACCAATTCAATGGTTTACCTCTCGGATTTTCAAGGTAACTCTTACTACTGTCACTGGGGAGAAGGTTGCTGATCAGCATATAGGTGCTGGTGATCTTCTCACCGATTGTCAAGTGATTACAGGCTCATCCGTTGGCATTTTCTCCTCGTAGTGTCCTTCCAGACTTACACAAGTTTCAGTGATTTTGCGAACAATTTTGGTGATGGAAACTGCACTACAGCGTTCGACAACTTCAAGTCAGAGCACAAATGTAACAAGATTTGTCGTGCATTTGGATTGCAAGCCTTCGTGTAACAAAAAATCCATTCATGTACCCTAAGACGTTTACCATGAATTACAAAGAGATGTTTGTCCGCTATGTTTACTGTTGTACTTTATCCTCTTCTCTCCGAATACTGTCCAAATGGCACACCGGAATCGTACTTTCGACAGTGCAGTGTAGAGTTGTTCATGAGCGAATGAATCAGTGCAGAAGTTGAAAACGGCTTCTGGCAGAGTATGTCCCTTCAAAGGTCCAGAGACGGATAAAAGAGCAAAATCTGATACTGAAGCACGCGGCCTGAGTGAGTAGCGGTGGTATGGAAATAATGATATCACAAAATGAGAGAACAATATTGTTAACTAGGGTTGAGCACGAGTGGACCCCTGGGTCACTGGAGCCACACCGCACCCGCTACGGTACGGGTGTACACCGACCCGCCAATTCCATGGGTATGAGTGGTGTTTGCGGTATACTGCGGGTTTGTAGACAGGTAAACGTTGAGTTTTTCTGTATTGAATTGGTAAGGCACTGACATAGTATAGTAGTATCAGCAGAGGTCTTACAAAGTTTCGAATCCAGGTGCTCTTCGTTGTCAGACCCCGTCGTCGCCGTATCAATAGCATTGACATCAATTACCGATGGCTCGGGCAATGACGATGGTGATATCGAAGATGATTTTGACAAGCATGATTGAATGGAAGACTCGTCAGCCTTCTTTAAGCGGCGCACAATCCACTGGAACATCAGCATAACCAACGCAGTAGGTTGTCACTTTGAATCAACATTGCTACTCGATGAACCTGCGGTCAAAGCTTCGAAGGTATGGGTGGGTATAGATTTGATGTCCTTGGGATGAGTAACATGGTGACGACAGCTGAGTCTAACTTGGGAGGTTTAAAATTCTGACCCTCGCACCCTCAGACAAGCTGAGGATTCTACACCCGTCTAACACCGCAAACCACCACGGGTAAGCACGGTATACGTGCGGGTCTCCATAACCTGCACCGTACCCATACCCGCCACACCCATCAGCGATACACCGTGGTTTTGATGAAGCAGGCGAGCTAGTAGGGGATACGGGGTTTGAGGGGACAGTAGGTAGTTGGCGGCGAATGACAGATCTCGAAGAAAGAGTGCAGCTGCGAGACGGGGGTGTATCAATAGCTTGAACTAGACTGCGGACGAAGCAGGCGAGCTAGTAGGGGATACGGGGTTTGAGGGGACAGTAGGTAGTCAGCGGCGAACGACAGATCTCGAAGACAGAGTGCAGCTGCGAGACGGGGGGTGTATCAATGGTCACTCATTCAAAGAAGTATGCCAAGTTGCATTCTTACATTCCCCCAACTGGTGAACCAAGGCTTCGTCTATCGTCTCTAAGTCCGTCTGAGCCAGGCTGGGGTCGGTCCGTACTCGAGTCTTGAAGCGGTCAAACTAGTATGTCCATGTAAGTACACAACCGCTTGTGACCTCCTGTGACGCAATATGAGGTATACTAACAAATAATTCAAAGGACTAGAACAAACATTGATCGGACCTTCAAAATAAGTAGTGTCCTGTAAATTTGGTGTATGCTAATTTACGGGTGCTAATCAGCAGTGCTAATTAGCGCTAATTTACTGTGTTAATCTGGGAGGCCCAAAATGCCCTGTTAATTAGGGTTAATCTGCTTGATATGTTGTATCGGCCGATCTGCTTGAAGCGTTCACCTGCCGGAATAAGAATGTTGCAATATTGTTCGATTTTTGAGGCAAGCCAACATCAAACACCAGCCGAGGGCCATCAATGGTTGACTGGGAGATACACAACAAACTTAGCTTACTTGCACTTTACCTCAAAAATCTCCCAGACACGATACCCTTGGTGCATGCTTCGGCTACACAGTATGGCTTTGACTTTTATGCTGCCGATGATGAAGATATCTTGGACATGGGCGAGATTGGCGCTCTGAATCGGGCATTCGAAATTCGAACAAAAGCCACCAAGTCCAATTGCAACTACAAAGGTACCTACTGGAGCGAAGCAAGTTTTTCGTTGCATTGCTAGCAAGGGATGCAACACAACATGGGCAATGCCACGAAACAAAGAACGAATCCTGGATCACTTGTCAAAATGTAGCTGGCTTGATTCTGACCTGCGGAAAAGAGCATATAGTGAGCTCGGGAAGAATGCAATTGGTCCTCCTGCACATATCCCATTGGCAGATGATGAGACTCGGAAGCCTACCACCGCTGATGAAGATGAGGAGCAACCCGAATCAAGGTCTCGTGCTTCACTGCAGAAGGGTGGGAAGCTCCCGGTCAAAATGTATATTGGAGAGGCGAAGAGAATCTTGAAGGAGAGTGGCGACTATGCAATCATGAAGTACCTTGTCTGTTGTGGAGTTCCACCAACAGTCGTTGATTCAGAAGAGTGGAAAGAACTGATAGCCGTTCTAAACCCAAACTACATTTCTCCCAGCTCTGCAACTCTTACCTCACGTCTAATAGTCGACGAGGCTGCTAAAATTAGCATGGCTATTGAACAATACCTTGGCGCATCACGGAACTTGACGATCACATACGACGGAGGCAAAATAAGATGCCTGAAGTCTTTCTACTCTGTCCATGTCACAACTGCAGATCGGCGATGCTTTTGCATGACATTGGACGATGGTTCTCGTCTATCACACTCAGCAAATTACATAGTCGAGGCACTTGATCGTGTAAGTACTAGTGTTCTATTTCAATCTGGCCACAATTGATATACTGACGCTACTACACTATTAGGTTATCAAGAATATAGGGCCATGGAACTTCTGCACAGCAACATCAGATAATACAGGTAACACAAAGAAGGCTCGGAGGCTACTTTGTGAGCGCTACCCCCCACATCATCAACCTTCAAGACGCATGCCATCTGCTTAACTTGGCCGTGAAGGATATTTGCTTGTTACCTGAGTTCGAGGATGTGAGTGGACGTCATTTTCATCTAAGGTTAACTTACACTTCTCTCTCCTTCTAGGTCATCCAACAGATCCGGATGATATTGGCACATATGAGTCGCTCAAGCTATGCAATGGAGCATTATAATCACAAACGAATCACTCTTGGAATCTCCCGTGGGCTGGAAGCCATTGGTGACACTCGCTTCGGCACTATTTACTGGGCAGCACTATCAATACAACGTGGATTGCCAGCATTTCAGGCTGTCGTCGAAGATACTGATCTTGGTATTGACATTGCAGTAAGTGGTGCCTTTATTACAGTCTGCTTGACATAATGGTAATCTTGTTCCTTAGTCTCTTAACGATCTTTTCGTCCCAGGAGGTGCAAGATTGAACTTTGAACTGGAGCTCTCCAAGCTTCTTGCTGTTATCGGGCCTTGGGCCAAAGGCACAAGATGCCTGGAGGGTGCACATATCACACCTGACCAAGTTTATTTCGTATTTCTTGGCATCTTAGCTCAACATGAAGAAGACTTCCGCAAGAATGAGTTTCGACTTCGAAATAACACCATCGGGAGTATTCGTCGAATTGGGAATGCTAGATTTGACGAGCTCATCAACGAGACCCCTCAGATGCACGATGTTTACATAGCCTCATTTGTCCTAAACCCAAGTATGCTTTCATTGTACCGCACACGGACCTTACTCATAACATCATGCAGTGTTTCGTAATGCTCCTGTGTATAAACAAGCCAATCCACTCGTCATAGACCCCATCCTGATTAATCGAAGCAAGGACAACATCATCACATGTGCATCAAAACCTCCCCCTGATATGTCAAAGCGAGCTGCTCTCAGCATTCAAAAAATTCTGCAGCGGGAGTATAGTGATGTTTATGAGACAGGCAAATATACCGATCCAAAAGCTGAGATGCAACATCGTAACCCTGCACTTGCGCACTTGACTCCTGCAGAAGCGCTCACTCGTCTTCAGAGTCAGCTGAAAGCCTATTTCCGTGCTGAAGATCCGTTCAACCGCAAGATGCGCTCAAATGAGAGCCCGCGGGATTACTGGCGAGCACTCCTGAAATCAGGAGATGAACTTGCTGATGTACTTCCGGTGAGTATGCTCCCATTGTTCCTTTATCACTGACTATATCCGTTATGGTGTAGATTATTGCAATCAAAATGTTCTCTGCGGTTCCTATTTCTATGGCAGACGAACGCACTATGTCCACCATCACATGGTTGAACTCTCCTCGTCGCGCTAATCAAAACCTTGGGACACTTCAAGATCACATCAAAATTCGACAGTGGCATCGTTACAAACCTGAGGTATGTGTTTCTGGCTAGCACCTCAACCTCAAATCAGTGAATCACACTCGTACTATGCAGAATGCAAATCCCGCCAAAAAATTGCTTGTTCGATGGCGAGACATGGACGAAACTATTTTCCACAAGCGTACAGCTTCAGACATGGATATGTCTGAAGACCTTCCACTCCCTGGACTCCGTCCACCTCAACCAAGACCCTTCAACTCCAATCCACCCAACGACGCTGATGATCCCAAATTTCCCGATGATGGTGCTGAATGGCTGAACGACGAGCGAGGACTGGCGAGCGAGTTTGAAAAAGTTGACAGCTCATATTTCTTGCTTGCAGGGGCAAATGTACATATCGAGTTGCGCTCTCCCTATCTCCGCGACTTCCTGGACGAAACACCCCGAAACATGAATCCCCACGCCAAGGTGTTAACAACATCGTCCATTGTCGCGTCGTCGTCGTCGTCGTTAGAGGCAATTCCTGATGTAAAAGCCTGGGATGTATGGCCGTAGAACCACATTTACCCTAATTAACCGTTAAACTCATCAAATCTACAAGTAAATTAGCGCTAATTAGCAGACTTGCAAATTTACGCTAATTTACATAGGGTAATTTGACCTCCCAGACAGCCTTTGCTAATTAGCCCTGTTAATCTGGCCTCAGACCAGATTTACAGGACACTAAAAATAAGTCGCGGCAAATCGGCAAATCGAACCGTAACCTATCGTCCACCATACATGTGTTACAGTCACCCTATTCTTTTCCCAATGGCTGTACTTCTAATTCGATCATCATACTTCCTTTTTGTCTTGTGGTTTCCTCATCGACACTGCCCGATCTTCATACATTGCGTATGCACATGCGCTTGGAGGCACTCGTTGCTGATATTGCCAGAGATTGAAACGAGAGAGAAAGAGGTGGAGAGATTCCCACCTTAGAATCAAATCGTGCACGTGTCGCCCTTTCGGATGCGGAACACAGCCTCAAGTTGACCCAAGACGAACAACGAACTGCAAATGAAGACCTCCTAGATCTCTTTGATCCTGAGGCCCGAGGGCTTTGGTCCAGAAGGCGAGTGGAAAAAACTTGACGGCTTGTGCCTCTCAAAGGATACCGGAGAGTATGTGTTGTTGCTTCGAACTACTTGGAAGTATACCCACGTTTCACAGTTACTACACTTACGAAGTTTGCCTCTTTGACGAGGCGACGCAGATTCCAGGTAGCGGTGATTCTGGCTTCAGTCTCGGGTATGTTGTTTAGCAATGAATGCTATGAAGATACTTATCTATGTGCCTTTCAGGAAATGTTCGTCCTCGAACAAAGCTGCTCAACTGGTGAGCTAGAATATTATACCCGACAGCACTTTACCCAGGGGGCCAAATGCTGGAACGGCCCCCATCGCAGCGTCGAGGTAAAGATTGCATATTCTCTATTCTCCCCCACAACGTTGATTTGTTCTTATAAGCTCGTCCTCACATGCGGTACTGAAAACACGTTACTGACGGTGGCAGAACTGGAAAAGTGCGAGTACCAAATTACAGGAACAACCCCGGCATTATGTCGCCCACTGGAGGACGAGCACACCAAAGACGAACTGTAGACTTTTTGGGATTAGGTCTAGGTACAGTACCTCTGCATGCATGTAAGTATTTATTACGTGGTCAGGTGAACATGAAGTTCTACTTCCACCCCCTCGGGGCACGAGTTCTAATCAGGAAACCTACTCTCTGAATTCGTAAAAATACCAAGAATAAGATCGATGGAAATAGTAATGCACACGGTTACAATATCCTCACCAACCTGACGCAGTCCATCATGTTGCAAACAGAGGTCGTGTCTTTGAGTTGTGCAATGATATCGTGATCCGATGCGATTCTCATGTATTCCCCTCCGCGTTGCTGTGCTAGTAAAAATGCGCGAAAAGGCTTACTTCGGGGCGGAATAGTCTAAAGTTATAACTTCGCAAGTGAACTATACGACGTGTCGTCGACCAGAATCACAACGATTTGGTAATTGTTTGAAAGGCGAATTGAATGTATCTCCACTAAAAGTTGTCCAAGATATGAATGGTATGCTAAGAACAAGACGAACCAACTACAACACAGCAGACAGCAGAAAGATGGTATATCTCGTTCAACAGCATGGCTGGTTGTGTGCACCGTGAATGCATCGCCAGACTGACATGAATATAGCTCCTCTGTTTGAAAAGAGAAATCAAGAAGAAAAAGTCAAGCAAGTACCTCTCACGAGGGGGGGTACCAGAGACTCAGCACCGGAACCAGCATACACGCAGTCCATCTTCACATCCGGCAGCGGATGATCGCTCGTCCCTTTGTAAGATGTCAACGCAGCATCATCGTGAGCATATAACTATCCTACCAGCATGACAGTACGGGATTCCGTCCTCCTTGTGTCCCCACCACATCACAGGCGACCACTCGTCCACGAGGTTGGCGAGCGTCTGGAGGTGGCCATATGCAGCCGGCTGAGGACCGCGCGGTCGCCACAGTGCGACGAAAGTGAAGAAACAGGCAAATATAAACAGCGCTATGCATAAGTTCCAGATCTGCACGAGGTTGTGAGGACGTCGTAAGAGTTTTACATAGGCAGTAAGTGCGAACCTGGGGAGGGTTCATGGTTACAAGCGACCATCCTAGGTTCTCCATATCGATGTTGTTAGATATCTGGAATGAAAGTCCAAACATCCAGTCTGTGATCCTCGACGATGGTGTTCAATAACACCTATAAAAGATACTAGACGGGAATGACTCACGCAGGAAAGGCTTCGCGACGAAAAGTACAAGACAAATTGGGTGAGTGAAAATTGTCTTCACTGGGTTCGTCGCCATTTTAAGTCCTTTCCTTCCGGTAGCGCATCTCCACTGTGTTTCGTCTCGAATGACATTCGCGATGAGCTCCGAGCAATGCAGCCCAAGTGTCAAGGGTCCCTGGACAACTGCTATGTTGACGAAGAGCAGAATCCACATCTCAAGATTGACACCGGGCATAGAATACCAGATGGAACTGGACGACTGGTTGGGTAAGAACGACCACGTCTGTGGGGTCATCGGGATGAAAGAATTACTGTTCAGGTTAGAGATATACGTGACGAGTGCGGCCCATCCAGCGCATGCTGCAACGATCACCCAAAGAGAAATGATAACTTTCCGGATGCTAGGGTGAGCATGCCACGCAGAGGGCTGTATCTCTAGTGGCTTCACTGGACCTCCATCCGCGTCTAGGTCAGACACACAACACATGCACCGCGAAGTAACATGGGTCAATTGCGTGTGGTGGACCAGTGCGGCGGTCAAGTCGAAAGGTGAGGAGCTCCACGTCAATATTTTGACAACCCGTATCGCTGACAATGCGATCATCACCTGGAGAAGGAGTGCGACACCTAGAACGAGTAGAGGTATCCCTGTCATGACGATGACGACGGCGTTGTCGATGGAAAGATCATTAGATGTCGAGGCCAAACATAGGATGAGTGAAGCCGAGCTGTAGGATATAATGAGGAGGACAGCCAAGATACCATTAAACAGGGTGCCGTTAGGGTTACACCATCCACGAGCTGCAGTCAGAAGGCGCAGATTGGTGTTGAAATGAAGTCGAGACTCTGAGGCCAGTGCAGAGCGCAATGTGATACCATGTACGAGGCCTATGGACTCGGTGCATAACGTGACGATTAAGTTAAGCGCCAGTGCCAATATCTCCCCCTGCAGGGGCAACGGATTAACACTCGTATTCACTGCGGAAATGCCGGTCTCGATGACTCCGAGGACTCCGCTAGAGTATACAGTGGCAATGCCTAGAACGATGCATAAGTAGCTGAAGATAGTTGAGCATGCCACTCCGACAAGGGCATATCTACGACTCGTCAAACACGGGTCGTAGAATTCGGTTCTAGTATCAGCACTGAACTTCGCATCAGATGTTATCGAGTCAAAGTCCTGGTCATTCAGGAGTGCGTCATATGGATGCGAACTTTCATCTGTCGGTTTGAAAGAAGCTGCCATGGGAGGCAGAGATAGGAAGGCCAGTCTCAAATGAAGAAAGGCTCGGACTAGAAACGAAAGGACAACTCAGTCTTCGGATCGAGAGACCCGTACTACGGCAATGCATACCTAGAAACGAAACGATAACTATGTAGGTAGTTAGAATGAAAACATGTATCGGTAAATGCTAATACTCACCTCGGTCTTCGGATTGAGAGACTGAGGGGAGTTCGTTCTGGGGATGCCAGAATAAGAGAAACCTGTTGAAACGGAGAACGAAAAGTGCATATGAAGAACACGTGTAGCAATGAGTGATTGTGTATGCAAAGTGAAATGCGTACGCCGGATGGATTTGGATACAATGGGCACGCAGATCAAATCTTATGCCCATAGCTTCTGGTGCACAGATCCTTTTCGAGTGGACTTTGATCTTGAGTAAGAGATTCACGAGTGTCGCCGTCCCATGTGATGAACTCTCCGTCGATATCACCGCTTGCTATAAATTGCCCATCTCCTGATACTGCCAGTGCCAGTGCTCGCACCCAAGCACCGTGCCCCTACATTTTCTTCAACATAAACCCGTCCTTCAAGTCCCACATATGAAGCGTCTTGGCTGCCGAGCCCATAACCATGCGTCGTCTATCGGGGAAGACAGCAACAGCAGGCGCAATGTTTTCATGTCCTTTAGGCCCTCGAATGGGTATAGGCAGGATCACAGACTTGTTGATGTGCTTGATCAGACTGTTGCCGGTCTAAGCGCTGCACCACAGCGGCATTATTGCTAGTAGTGTCTCTTTAGACGCCCAAGGCACGGTGACATCACAAGCCCGCGAACTTCCGCTGTAGTTTTGCAGATAAAACGCTGCGCCCTAGATTGAAGACTCAGTCGCTACTTCATGACTCACCTTTAGTCTCCTGTAGTTAGACCTTGTGAACCTGTGAACAGATGAGATTGGTATTTAAAGCAATATATTGTTGAGCATCTGCGTAAAATTGCCCACCACTTTCACATGAGAATGTTCAAAGGCATCAAGTCGAGGAAACAGCAATTTGCAAGCAAGCAGGGCTGGTAGCCAAATTAGCTTTGTGACCTTTTTCAATCGAATGAATCTAAGAAAAAATGCACAAGCACAGGTGAACAACCCTGCACTATTCTTTTTCCCTATTCTAATTCGATCATCATACTTCCTTTTTGCCTTGAGAATGGTTTCCTCATGGACACTGCCCTTACATGTGTTCTCGCGGTGGACAATTTTGAGCGCCTGGAACCAACTCGAATTGTTACTACTGGAAATGCAAACATTGCGATGATCAGGTGCTCGAATCCAGGGTCATGACAACAGCCTACTTATCAGGCGCTGGACCAATGTAACTGCTCCTCTGCGCCAAGCAGCGCGCCTGTTTGTTATGGACAAGACAGGCAACCTCAGCACCCTTGATCCAATTCTTACTTCCGCTGCTTCGAATTCCCAATCTGCTTCTGGAAGTTCTACTACCGCCGTATTCCCATCAAGAGACGCAAAGCTTCAAATTTGTCAACCCTAGATGGATACGTTGATCAACGAACCATTGAATAATGCACAAAATAACCTAGCAAATGCAAAGCTGCTCCGGTGTGTCGTGTCATCCAACTTTGAGAGTCAAACCTAAATGTTGAAACTAGCTTTTTCATTCATGCCAATATTCCCAGACGCGTTTTTATGCATTGATTCTCCAATGTTTAAGTGTGCTAGAGTACGGTAAGTACATGCACCAATAATCACAAGCAACTAACATGCTCGTATCGTAGTTCTCCACTTACCCTGGTCTGCATGCGTCCTCATGCCAAGAAGAAGACCAATGGTCTAGCTCCTGTCACATCTGAGCTTATAAACACGATCTTGAATGACCCCCCCTACTCAAATTTATTGTCGATGCAATTGGTAATGTTGAGTCACGCCAAGCCTCGCTGGCTGACTGCATGCTAGAACTTCTTCGCTGCGCAAAGAAGATGTCCCAGCTCTGCAATCTTGACTCACAAGTGTGTTGCAGCCCTCTACCAGCCACTCCTCGTACATCATACCGCGCTCAAGTCCCTTCAGAAAGAACACAAGAAGCACCTGGAACGCGAGAAAGCTCTTGGTGACATCTTGACCTCACTCCGCGCTGGCTATAACCCTAACTATCAAGATATGGCCGTCCTCGAGGCTGTGCGTGGCTGGGAGGCACTAGCAGGATTACCTCACACAAACGACGTACGCAAGGGTGACGATGGGAAAGCTGACACTACCGCGGAAAAACCGAAAACAGATGACGATATTGAAGATGAAGGTCTCTGGAATGCAGCAAAGATCGGGAAGGAGTTGGATCAGTTGTTGAAAACAGATCATGTGACGCTGCTGCTAGAACATGATTAGCTTGTCGGGCCTGCTTCGGCTCAGTTGCTCTGCAAGTTAAAAGTAGTTGATGGCGCAAGAAACTGACCGGTTTTTAAGTGCTTGACATCTCGGCCTACCTTCCAGACGCTCTGCTCCCATCTTATCATAGTTTCCGCGACTCGCTCCTCTCAGCTCTCTCGGTTTTCGGGATCGGGCGCGGAGGCACATCCGACACGTCTCCGCTGGTAACTATATGAATCTATGTCACTGAATGTATGAGCTCATCCCACCTTAGAATCAAATCGTGCACGTGTCGCCCTTTCGGATGCGGAACACAGCCTCAAGTTGACCCAAGACGGACAACGAACCGCAAATGAAGACCTCCTAGATCTCTTTAATCCTGAGGGCTTTGATCCAGAAGGCGAGTGGAAAAAACTTGAGGGCTTGTGCATGTCAAAGGATACCGGAAAGTATGTGTTGTTGCTTCGAACTACTTGGCAGTATACCCACGTTTCACAGTTACACTTACGAAGTTTGCCTCTTTGACGAGGCGAAGCAAATTCCCAATATGTACCTTGAGATAAGGATCGATCTGATGCTGGCTTCCATGTGTCCTTGGCACTTCCCGTGCGCCCATATTTCGCATCCTGAGTTGGACGACTCGGACCTTAGTCGGTTCTTTCGAGCAGTTTCAAACCCTAAGCAAACAAAGTCTGAACACCCTCACGCGGCACTCACAACGCATCGAGTGGTATATGATATCCTCACTCCCCCATGTTTCCCTTCCCTAGTAACTCACCCCTTCGTTTTACTGCAGTTTCGCCACCCACCTATTTATTCATTCCCTCCAATTTTACTGCCACATAATCATACCATTCATGTATTAATAGCCTCTCAAATGTGCCGCATCCGAGTTCCTACATTGCACGGCCAATCCCCATATTCCACCAGCTAATTTATTCATACAGTATCCTGGATTCCATGCCCTGGTTTGCACGCTGACCTGGGCAGCACCAGCTTCTTCACTCTCGTTGCTCGTACCCTGCCTCCGACGCTTCATTTGCACCATCGTTTCAATATTAATCCTGCACCTTCATTCTTACACGGCTTTCGCCGCTGTCGACTTCATACCTGCTCGCATCGATTGGTACTTCCCGCATTCATCTATTTTCGCTAGTGTGTATGATCGCTTCGACGCATTTACATAAATCCATCCTACTTCCTATCCCTCGACGAAATTACATCAGCCACACACTGATAGGTTTCGAGCCCATCTGGCCATTCCCAATCACGATTGTCGGAAGCTACCATCACCCTCACACTTTAAAGTTGCATTTATTGTCGAAGATCATGAGTTGTGGCAGAGTGGTACAGGATTCGATGGTAAGTCTTTTCAGTCACGCACGCATTCAAACTACAATACTCAGACCAATGCAGGGTTACGGCTTGTACAAATATGTGCCATATTCAAATTACCCACCCACTATGGCAAATTCCCTCACTTGCGGGTATACGTCGAATGGTTTTGTCCTCTACGTAATCCGGAACCTGTGACTGACTTGTATCGACTTGCCTGTTCAACTGATAGCCATTGGGGTTTCATATCCGTCGTTAGCGTTCAAGATCTTTCGCAAGCAGGTCATTTGATTTGGATCAAACAAGGTAGATATGCTGTGGGTCAATGGTGATGTTCTCGAGCTTGCTGACATCAATCCTTACATGGATTTGATAACATATGTAGAGCGCATATGGCACAAATTGATATTCAGATCGCCGTTTGACAACGACTTCTTCGTACCAGATCTGTTCCCGTTGCGAAGAGAATTGGTGTTATGTGTATTATGGTAGTGGTAAGTTATTTTTGGACTCGACAAGCCCACTCTGAAACAACAGAACGATGAATGATCTCAATATTTGTAGGAGATTTTGAGGAGATCATGACCGTCTCAGACAATTCGCAGTCTCGTTTTCATGGGCGTTCAAATTGAGGCTACGTCATGGTCATTTGCTTCAGGTCAAGACCATTTTTCATGCAGTTGATATGCGCATTCAGATCTCAGATACATCGTTGTTGATGATTTGTTCGTCGGTCGCTACATATGGACCGACCGCAAGTCCTACCACAGCATGTACTATATGTGCTATATACGATACGATCCTACCGAGACTCTGATTCTTTAATGTCGGCCAATTTCACTGGTATTCACAGCTCACCTTATGATACACTTCCTATTCATATTCCGACTCAAGAGTCAACATATCCTCCACAGCTTATATATTTTGGTCCGTTTATTCATCATAGTGTTACAAAGCCCGAGTTGGAACAATATTAAGACGAACTACCTACAACGTAGCAAGCACCATAAACATTGTACATATATCATTCAACGGCATGGCTGGTTGTGTGTCCGTCAATGCATTGCCAGCCTAACGTGGATACAACAAAAAGAGAAATCAAGAAATGCCCTTTAAAAAAAAGCAAAGCAACTACCTCTCACGAGAGGGGTGCCAGAGACTCAACACCGGAACCAGCATAAACGCAGTGCAACTTCACATGCGGCAGCGGGTGATCACTCGTCCCTTTGTAAAACGTCAACGCAGCATCATCGTGAGCATATAAGTACCCTACCAGCATGACAGTACGGGATTCCGTCATCCTTGTGTCTCCACCACATCACAGGATACCACTCGTCCACGAGGTTGGCGAGCGTCTGGAGGTGGCCGTATGCAGCCGGCTGGGGACCATGTGGTCGGCGCAGTGCGACGAAAGTGAAGAAATAGGCAAATATAAACAGCGTTATGCATAAGTTCCAGATCTGCATGAGGTTGTGAGGACGTCATAAGAGTTTTACATAGGCAGTAAGCGCGAACCTGGGGAGTGTTCATGTATACATCCGACCCTCCTAGTTTCTCGTCAGAGACGAGCTTATATATCTGGAATGAAAGTCCAAACATCCAGTCTGTGATCCTCGACGATGGTGTTCAAAAACATCCATAAAATATACTAGACGGGAATGACTCACGCAGGAAAGGCTTCGCGACGAAAAGTACAAGACAAATCGGGTGAGTGAAAGTCGTCTTCACTGGGTTCATCGCCATTCTAAGTCCTTTCCTTCCGGTAGCGCATCTCCACTGTGTTTCGTCTCGAATGACATTCGCGATGAGCTCCGAGCAATGCAGCCCAAGTGTCAAGGGCCCCTGGACAACTGCTATGTTGACGAAGAGCAGAATCCACAGCTCAAGATTGACACCCGGCACAGAATACCAGATGGAACTGGACCGCCAGTTGGGTAAGATCGACCACGTATATGGGGTCATAGGGATGAAATGACTGTCCCGGTCCGAGATATACGTGACGAGTGCGGCCCATCCAGCGCATGCTGCAACGATCACCCAAAGAGAAATGATAACTTTCCGGATGCTAGGGTGAGCATGCCACGCAGAGGGCTGTATCTTAGATGGCTTCGCTGGACCTCCATCCGCGTCTAGGGCAGACACACGACGCATGCACCGCAAAGTAACATGGGTCAATTGCGTGTGGTGGACCAGTGCGGCGGTCAAGTCGAAAGGTGAGGAGCTCCACGTCAATATTTTGACAGCCCGTATCGCTGACAATGCGATGATCACCTGGAGAAGGAGTGCGACACATAGAATGAGGAGAGGCATCCCTGCGATGGCGATGGTAAGATTATTGTCGAAACATACGACGAGTGAAGCCGAGCTGTAGGATATAATGAGGAGCACAGCCGAGATACCATTAAACAGGGTGCCGTTAGGGTTATACCATCCACGAGCTGCAGTCAGAAGGCGCAGGTTGGTGTTGAAATGAAATCGAGACTCAGAGGCCAGCGCAGAGCGCAATGAGATACCGTGTACGAGGCCTATGGACTCGGTGCATAACGTGACGATTAAGTTAAGTGCCAGTGTCAATATCTCCACCTGCAGGAACAGATTACCTGCGGGCATGTCGGTTGCTCCGAGGACTCCGTGATTGGCTAAAGTAACAATGCCTGCAATGATGCAAGAGCAGCTGAAGATAGTTGAGCATGCCACTCCGACAAGGGCATTTCTGCGACTCGTCAAACACGGGTCGTAGAATACAATTCTAGTATCAGCAGTGAACTTCGCATCAGATATTATCGAATCCAAGTCATCGTCATTCAGGAGTGCGTCCGAGCTTTCATCTGTCGGTTTGAAAGAAGCTGCCATGGGAGGCAGAGAGAGGAAGGCCAGTCTCAAATGAAGAAAGGCTCAGACTAGAAACGAAAGGAGAACTCAGTCTTCGGATTGAGAGACTCGTACTACGGCAATGCATACCTAGAAACGAAACGAGAACTATGTAGGTAGTTAGAATGAAAATATGTATCGGTAAATGCTAATACTCACCTCGGTCTTCGGATTGAGAAACTGAGGGGAGTTCGTTCTGGGGATGCTAGAATAAAAGAAACCTGTTGCAGCGGAGAACGAAAGGTGCATGTACAGAACACGTAAAGCAAAGAGTGATTGTGTATCTGAAGTAGAAATCCATACGACGAATGCGTTTTGATAGCCAGCGATGGACACCCAACACCCAAATTCAATCTTATGACCATGGCTTCTGGTGGATCTGACTTCGTGATGGACAGCGGTCGTGCGACGCGGCATTTATGTGTATCCGGTGCACTGTTGATTTACGCGGCAATACTAAAAGTGCACATGTCAGGATGGTAATCATTGAAAGCCAGTCAAGCCTAACCTCCGTGTACTGTACACATATCCTAGCACGATGCACAGACCTGCCGTTGTCTGTCAATTGAGTGAGGCCAATGAGAAACAGGATCAGAAGTCAAACGAGTTTGCAGGTGTGAATCATCGAAAGGTAGTAAAGTGAAATACGTACGACGGATGTATTTTGATCCAATGGGCATGCAGATCAAATCTTATGACCATAGCTTCTGGTGCACAGATCCTTTTCGAGTGGACTTTAATCTTGAGTAAGATGTTCGCCAGTGTCGCCGTCCCATGCGATGAATTCCCCGTCGATATCACCGCACGTTATCAATTGCCCATCTCCTGATACTGCCAGCGCCCGCACCCGAGCACCGTGCCCCTCAATTTTCTTCGACAAAACCCCGTCCTTCAAGTCCCACATACGGAGCGTCTTGTCTACCGAGCCAGTGACCATGCGTAGTCTATCAGGGAAGACAGCAACAGCGGACATGGTGTTTTCATGACCTTTAAGCGCTCGAACGGGTATGGGTGGGATCATGGGCTGGTTTGCTTCAGCCATTGAGTCATTTCCGCGGGAATCTGATGGTGTTTAGCGCAGTCGAGGTTGATCAGACTCTATTGCCACTCTAAGCTGCAGGCGGTGCTGCATCACAACGGCATTATTGCTACTAGTGTTTCGTTAGACGCCCAAGGAACGGGGACATCACAGGCCCGCGAACTTCAAGTTGCGCCGCAGTTTTGCAGATAAAGCGCTGCACCCTATATTGAAGACTCAGTCGCTACTTGAAGCTTCATGACTCACCTTTAGTCTCCTGTAGTCTGACCTTGATACTAGAAGGAACATAGTCGTTCCTTGGCTCCCCTTCGAGTCCTGTCTAATTATGACTTTAATGATAGCCCGGGTCAGTCTGAGCCGTAATCGCCTTCACAGTCCTGACTCCTGCTCGTGTATACCGGAGGGCTATGAACCTGGGTTTCACTGCTTGGATCTATCTGCCAGACACAGGGCCATGGATTTGAGGATTGCTGGTGTGCACAAGGAGACATAAGGCGGAATTAGAGCAGACAGAAAAGTGGCTTGCTGGATGCCAGCTCGAAACCAACACGAGATCAAGTAGCACCTGGGGACCTATTGACGGTTACTGAGCCAACGAACGGTCGTTTGTACCGAAGAGCGAGCTTTCAGCCAGTAGAATGCTCCAGGAAGTGTACGTTCGTGCATTCCTATTTGGTAGATGAAGAACATGTCACAAGTAGGGTATAATTGGAATTGGAGGAAGTTTCAAGTGCACTGAGTTCTACGTAGCCAGCTAGCAACAAGTGTCAATTCTATATATAGGACACGTGCTAAATAAACATACACTGCCAAAGTATGAGTTGAAGGCGAGGTATAGACACTACTGTACGATATGACTGCAATGTCGCTGAATTGAATGTAGGTGATTGGCGGGCACTGTGGAAGGTATGAAGAAATATTACGGGCTGGTCAAACAGACACCCGGGATCAAAGGTTAGGAGGTGTCGCAGGAGTAATCATTTGGTAACACTCTAAGGGCTCGCCATTCCAATATCCTCACTAATTTCTCGTACAAGCCGCCGGGCTTTCAATTCCGGCGTAATATCACCTCGTTCTCTTTCTTTGTCTTCCACACCATTCTGCCTACACTCGTCGCCCTGCTCTACGGTGGCAGCGCGGAACTCACCGGCGCTCTCGCACTCCTCGGCGTCTCCGCAGATTGAACTTGAAGAATTAGGTGGTCGAATCGTCGGTTCATCATCCGTCGTATAGCCACCTTCCGTTTCAGTTTCAGTATCGGTTTCGGTGCTGACGATACTCGCGGCGTCATCGTCGCGCGTGCGTACAGCGCGCATACTGGGCGTCCGATCGGGCGCCACTGAACCACCATATACATCAATAGCACCCATAGCCCGTGCGGGGCCCGATACCGTGGTAGGTGATGAACGTGTCTGTGATTGCTGTGAGCGTGATGGGGTTACAGGGCGAAGCACTGAAGGCGGTTCTGGTGGCTGTGATTGCGAAAAGAGGATAAGCTGTTCTGCATATCTTTGCATCTCCTCAGGCGATATGACGAGCCTGAAGTCGTTGAGAAGTAAAAACTGGAGCTCGAGTTGGTTGAGCTCTGCTTGGGGGAGACCTCCGACCTGAGTCAAGATACGGGGTGGAGTGAATATTTTGAACAGGTCGCAAAGTTGAAACCCACCTTCGCATATCGCGAATTAGTGTAAAATACATCGCTGAAGAATTTACTTGCGACTGTGACGCCAGCAATGACAAGTCTATGGACGTTATACGAGTCGATGACAAATGTACGCCCCGTAGCCTCGGAGGCAAGGCGAGACATGCGGTCAAAATACACGAGGAGGGCTAAGAACACCTCGTTTGTGGTTGGACAATATTTGAGTATTCGTAAGAGATATGATTCGAGTGCGATAGTTGGAATGTTGCGAGCATGGAAAGTGAGGGCGGATGCAGGATTTGATAGGGAGGAACGAGAGGCGGAGGTGAGGGAGCGCCAAATAGGGGAACAAGATGCATCTTCTGATACGTCGTTATGTGACAGACTTGCCAAAGTATGGGATGCTAGGTCTGAACCTGAAATTACATCGTTGGTGGATGCAATCTGGGTAAGAAGTGAAGCAAGGAGACGAAGCAAATCGGTCGAGGGGTAGTTGTGAACGTCAAAATATGAAGCAGAAGCTGGTACATTTATTTGAGGTGGAGGAATTGGAGAACCAGCTCTTGGAGGGTTATCAGGGGGAGGGTCTTTGCTTGTGGCTGCTGACGATTCGGATATTGCCTGAGATGACTGTACGGCGTGATTCCGAACTGGAGACGAGTCCTTTGTCACAACTGAAGATGCAGAAACCGATCTCCGTGGGCAGTAGGACGAAGATGGCTGAAATACAGCGGTAGTCGTCGATGCTTGCGGTTTCCAATGTGCAACTCTGCTAGAACTTGTTCGACTAGAAGATGAAGATGGAGTGGTTCTAGGTAAACTTGAAATATTTCTGTCGACGCCAGTTCTATCGATAGTTCTAGCTTCTGTTGGATGAGCGAGAGCGAGCATGATTAAAGATGTGAAGAGGACCCAGCTAGGTTCAGCGCTCAGCAATCACAAATGTAAAGTAAAACAATCTTCTTCTACCCCGTGGGAATAGATTACTTACCGTGTGAGACTGAGACAATTTGCATGTGGCAGTTTGATTGGCCGCCACTACTCATCTACTTAAGCTCTCCGAGTTCCACAGATCATTGTATTTCTGTGTCTTGACTATTTGTATCCAATCAAACTCCCAACGTTCGTGGTATACGGTGATTTCCGTCAAGTATTTCCATTATGTCTATATATTCATGCTGGCAGGGCTGCACCCATTGCGATTCGTCGGAAGATCGATCGAATAACCATCCTCCACGGGTGTAATCCCGCGCACGTAGTCTCGTTGTGCAAGGCTGTGCGGTGTTGGCCGCATTGCACGTCATCGATTCATCGTTTGCCTTTTGCTTCGCAGGATCCTTGTTGAAACGTTGACATGTAAAATGGGAAGTTATGACACTGATAACTGCGGTTCCCACTGATGTCATTCGCCGTGCGGTGACATTGCGGTCGCCGTTTCGACCTTTTTGCAGGAAACATTAACCCAGAATTCTGCTGACTATATTGCGAGAACCATAATTTCTCGTGCGGCCACCGTCGGCAATTGCAAATCAGCTAAGGGTGCCCTCCATAACTCCGAGGCCCTGTGAATGCATTTTAGGACTCGGAACTGCTTGCGTGGCTGTTGCGTACGCGGGTGCTGGGGTGGGCTCTTGTCCTTCATAGGTACTCACTACACCAAATACCAGGTGGATTCGTCCTTGTGGTGCTCTTCTGAATGTCACGCCTATCATGATCCACACCACCATATCAACCCAATTTCTTCTGGATTCTCCTGGTGCGGTTGATAAGCCATTCTAGTTATTTTGCGGGTAGCTAGGAAGGACGGACAAATCGATGCCACACAGAAGGTGCGTAGAAATTACCATTGGCTTTCAAGCTCGTAAATAGAAGACACGAAGGTCAACTTTTCATGTGCACATTGATTTGAGTGATCGCAGATCGTAACGTGCCTCAGGCTACTCTCGACCAATGTTGTCCTGTTTACTTTGTATTTATCGTAACAGTACTTGTGCACCGAGTACCCGACTCCGACAACTTCCATTAGGATCTGTCACGCCCACTGTCCCACTGCCCAACGTAAACTTCCCTTTACGTTTTTATGGCGGTTTGCTTTTCGAAACACTGCAGGACGGCAACACTATTCGGGTTCCTGCGGACTACTGTCTCCGAATAGGATATAAATGTTTCTCATTTCGTGTTTGCACTCATCCTTGTTATGACGACTACGACATTTAATGTTCCGTATGCTACCGTATACGGCCGTAAGGTACCCCGTACACCGTATACAGTACGGTGAACAGCCCTAGCCGACATCGAAGAATTCGATATCTTCTAAGAAGAGGAGCAAGAGTTCGACGACGAAGAAGAATTTCCAGCCTTCCTTCGCACCAGCCCAAGACATTCACCATTGCATGGGATGTTTGGGTCGAAATCAAAGTTGAGATCGGTATCGGGTCAAGGCGGGCACCTCCTCTGCTTCCCTTTATGTATTCGCCTCCTCGTTCTCGTGCATCGCACAGTTCATCGTCCGTACAAAATACCTATAACATGAACGATGCTCCCTACAACGCCCTCCCACCCACGCCCAGGTACACCCACCGCCAAAACTCTCGCTCGTCGACGTCTTCTGAGTCGACGGAAAGCGGAAGTTGTGAGAGCGGAGGGAGTGGGGTGTTTAAGAGGAAGCCGATTCCTGCTGAGAAGTTTTTGAGGACCTGATGTAAAGGTGGTTGTGGTGTTTCTATTTTCGATTTTGGTGTCTTTGGCGTTTTATTTTCTGTTCTACTCTTTTGCTTTCTCGGTTTGCTTTCTTTTTTGTTCGTTCAAGGTCTTTTTAATACCACTTTACTCTCGTTAACGACGTGTCGCAGCACCCAGCTCAATTCATGCACCCTACCCAACATACGTGTCACTCACCCACTCCCAGCAGCCCAACCAGAGTCATCGATAATGGGCGAGAAGTTCTAGTCACCGCCGCTGAGCCGGATATTTCTCAAAGCACGAACATGGTCAGGACCGTCAGGGCCTCTCAGAGTAACTGCGTCGGCTGCTGCTGTCCCGCAACCGCAAACAAAGCGCCTCCAAGAGGACCGTCCACCAGAAACCAAGGTACCTGTCGTCCCAAGGGACCCACTAACGCAGAACAAGGCACAAATCACTGCCCACGCCAAGTTAGATATCAAACAGGCAGGCGAAAGATACCCATGTTAATTCTTCTGAGCTCTGTTGACTGTCTTTTCTGTCCCGCATACATTGCGTTTCAGCATAGCTGTATATTATGTTTGTGACAATATCCAACTGGTCCCATTTCCAGCCCAAACTCGAGCAACTCTTCCTTCCAGCGCGCGTCTTCATACTGACCAGATCTTGATGGGCTTCGGTACATCATCCGTATGGTCCAGCCACAAGTTTTTGTGCTCGTTCCACCCCCAACCCAAAACTTCTATGTCCGACGAGCCAGAGGGAGAGATCGCTGTCATCACATGTTCGCTACACAAGTGAAAGATCTCAGTCAAGACAATTTGCCATCGTAGGATAAGGTACTTTTGGCAGGCCCTACCGTACCCCCGTTCTCCTCGACTTGCGACGCCCGACCTAGTTGGCCATAAGCATTACTTCCTGTCGATAGAAAGGTATTTTCACAGACTTATTTGATCCCATATCACAACCTCACACGATGCGTTTCTCCCTTGCAATCGTCCTCACCGTCGCTGCATCATCAATCTCCGCTACGCCCATCGCCGCTAGCACCGAGAAATGTCCCATATCTTGCTGGATTGACGTAAATTGACAGGAATGCACTTGGGGGATTTGCGTGAATATCAGTCGTCTTCTTGGATTTGATAATATGACTCACCTGTATGGCGGGAATTTCCTTTCTGCACAGTGAGTCGCGCTTTTGCTTTCACATTGTATGCCGTTAGCACTGACGTGCTAGTTATCAGTGATTTGTAGAGCCGTCAGGAAAACATCGGTGAAGTTGGTTCGATTGGGAAATGTTAGTTATACAAGGACGCCTATTACCGTGCAGATCAGCGTCCGTGACTGTTACTCCTTTGTAGACGGGCCTGAACCTTTATATCGTGGAATTGTAAGTATATACGCACGATTGACCTAATAAAAACACACCTAGGTCTCGAGTCTTGGCGTTCAACAGGATTTGGGTAGACACACTCGAGGAGTGGGAAGGGCTGCTTGAAAAGGAATCAAGAGACGATCGTTGGGCGTCAGAGTCGGTGCTTGCACGGGGAGGTACATCTCGTTGATGGGTGTTTCGGGGATTGATGGGGTAGATGTTTGGGGGTTGGGAATAGATGGATTCTTCCTCGTCGTCGAACCATACCTGTTCGATGACAATCAAATTGGCGTGTGTAGAAATCGTACTCGTCTTCCTCTTCATGAGCATCGGTGATCTCTGAGACGTCCTCGTCATCTGCGCAGACGATAGAACAGGTCTTGGTAATGCAGAGGGCGGACGCTGATGTGATTGGGTCTCAGACTGGGAGTTCAATGGGAGAGGTAGCTCGGCAAAGTCTTCGTCGTCTGAGTGCTTATGCCCAACCGCATGGCCATTCCGAATTCAAATATGTCTCGTCAACCGCGTTGTGCGTACAGAGGTTCATTCAAGTCTTCGGCGGTATGCGGTGCGATTTTACACTGGAACAGCAAGCCACATCTGTATCAGGACTCTCATGCTCGCCTGCCAACTCTCCGCTGTCGAGAAAGCTTTCTGCACGATTTCTGAATATTCTCCGTGTGGCATTTGAACACAATATGAACTGGCCAGCTGTTCAGATCGTGCTCAGAAAAGTTCTTCGAATAACACTAGCGCCGTGATGGCAATGTATGAAGGGTCCATGACATTAATTGATGATGCGTATATCGCGTTCGGTGGGTGCGACGAGGACGGGGAGAAGAAGGGTAAAAGATCGATAATGGCACCTGTGACTCCCACGTATTGCCTCTAATTAGACGTGATTATAGATAGGGCTAGCACGTCTAAAACGACAGAGTTCCAGCGTTTCCAAGCCTCCTTCAATAACTCTTGGATAAAGAGTGACTTATAATAACAGTAGTTCTAGGTAACTAAGCGGGACGTCGGCATTAATGTTCCTGGCTTCGGCTATCATGCTCCCGCCATGTGAACCTTCGTGCCCACCGTCGTACACGACGAGCTCCTTAAACCATGCATATTGACAGCGCGTTTTTACACATTGGTGGCGCGTTTTTTACAGTGACAGCTACTAATCATTCAGATATGTACAGATCCTCAGAATATACATAAAAGAGTAGCAGGGTGTACTACTCGCCCTCGTCCTCTTCCTCATCAGACGACTCAATGAACTCCGCACTTTTAGGGGCCTCACGATGCTGGGCACTAGCATTCTTTTTCACCTTCTTTGACGGCCTTCTGTTCTCTTTGTGTGCCTGTCCTGTGGTAGGTGGAGCCTTGCGCTTGCGAGTGATTCCAGCATCGGAGCGCTTCTTGCGTGGCTGCCAAACAACTTGCCCCGCTGAATAGCGCGCATCAAGTTCAGCACTGTGAACCTTGACTTCGGCTGGAGTGAGAGCAGCCCAGTAACATGTTCGGTCCTTGAGCGCATCGCGGAGCTTGCGAATTTCACCGACTGTCCTGATGTTTGAGGGACTGGTAAATTTGATACCCTGGGGCCATCTAGGCTACTAGCTTGACCGCATACGTTTCGATAATCGCCGTCTCGTAGTTGTTGTAGTTCATCATGATGTCTCTTTTGCCAGTCATTGCAACTGTAAAGATGTCAGACAGCACTCATGCACACTACTGTCACATACCCAGTCCTCGGACAATCAATTTTAGAGCTTGCTTGCGGACCGTTTCCAAAGAGTCTCGTTCATTGAGATCTGAAAAAGACTGAATAAGAATAAGATATCACTGTGAGGAGCCAGATGACTTACTTTGATTCTGCGTGCAGGCCCATTGTTCGTATTGTCGGAGAAAATCGGTCATTGGAGAGTCGTAAACGTCCTCCCAGAAGTCTTCAGAATTGTCAGTACCGTGCATTGTGCTTTGAATAGTGTCATTAATGTGACCCTGAACGACAAATAGAGTCCCATAGGTGCCTGTGCAAATACGCAAATCATCGAGCTTCGAAGTGAAAATAAGTTCAGTAGAATACATGTGACAGGCGGAGAGCTCACCTCCTTGACCACCCTTTCCGTCATGACTAAAACATCTCGTGCAGTAGCCATGTTATTTGCTCGCACGCTACTTACCTTTTGTTCACGGTGTTGACTGAGAGCAGCTATATAAGTGGCCTTTTCACCCTTCGTCAAATCTTGCATCTGGGGGTCCTGAGCAACCATCTCGCGCAGCTCGACCAATGTGTACCGAAGGCCATTAGGCTGGCCTTGTTGCAACAGAATATAAGTATGAGAACAAGAGCAAGCAAAGGAATTTTGCGTACCGCTGTTCATTTCCTTAGCTTTGGCATGAATTAAGGCGTTATTGAGGTGAACCTTGCGCGCCGTGCAATACTTGGTCTGATGACTGATTATGTCGTTGATCTGTTTGGGAGTAACATTGTGAGCGAGTGAGAGCAATTCAACTCCGTTTTTCTGTTCTTGCAGATGTTTGGCAACAGCATCGTGTAAATGCTTTGTAATTTCTGTCCTCTGGTCTTTCTTGATTTTCCGAGAGGCCTTCTGGGCATCTGATAGCCGAGGCGGTGGGGTCTGGCGATGGATCATGGGACGTGTCGGGTTTCGCGCTGCCCAGGTGGACGAATTTGCATCACGGAGGGGCTCTGGCAATGACTCTTCACCACCAGGCGACGATGCGCGAGAGGAAGGTGTGAGTTCACGTGCGTCAGGTGAAAAATGAGAGATGACGGGAGTAGGAGGCTGTGGAAGGGCCGGGCCATCATTGAGGAATGCTAACTCATCACTTGTCAGCGGCATCGAGTATAATGATGGGTCTTCCCAATCGATACCGTGCCAAAGTTGAAGTGTATGGCTCAATCCTGTTTTTTTCAAAGGTCAATACAAAGAGTGGGAGATTGCACATAAATAACACTGCACCTTCATTTTCGTTGAGCAACCCTGCGAGATATTCAGGTCCTCCCCCGTTGATGAAATTTCCATTGGTATTAAAGTCATCTTCAGAGAAAATGTAGCTCATAGTTGTCTGTGTGGGTAGGAGGGAGTGTCGTTGTGGGGATGCAATTAAAAAAACAATGTGCTTGCTTCAGGAACCTGAAAAGCATACCTATGGGATCGATGACGCCACGGCAGTCAGATCATTGAAACCCTACAAAAAAGCATATCAGAGTCAATAATAGAACAACTTGAATAGAAAAAAGATGCTTGCCTTGAGAACCTAAGAATCACGCCAATGGAGTAGGACGAGGTCTGGAACATTCAGACGGGGTTGTTGTCAGCTTCCTCGGTTGCACAGCAGCAACTTTGTAATTTCGGGAGGAAGTTTTCTGATGGGGGACATCTCTGCTGGGATGACCTTGTCGCAATCCCTTGATCCAACTTGAATGCCAATGGTGTATAACATTGATTGGGGGCGAGAACACACATCTCTGCTGGGATGACCTTGTCGCAATCCCTTGATCCAACTTGAATACCGATGGTGTATAATGTTGATTGGGAGCGATAACACACATCTCTGCTGGGATGACCTTGTCGCAATCCCTTGGTCCAACTTGTATACCAGTAGTGTATAACATTGATTGAGGGCGATAATGCACATCTCTGCTGGGATGACCTTGTCGCGATCCTGACTTGAATCCTGATGGTGTTCGGTCCCGGATAGTTCCGCATATGACATTGATTCAATGGGGGTGATCGCTGTCTCATTAACATTCTACATAATGTATGAGGGGGAATCCCAAGGTAAGGGCATTAATATCAGATCAAGGAAAATCTCACGAACCGTTTTTTTCCCCTCAAATCTATGGTAAGTCTCGATTTTGGGACTCACAGTCTGCTCACAGTTGTATAATATTCACATACATTCTAAGGCTAATCCTGCTGTTACTCTGAGCAGGCAGCGTGTGGCTACCAAGCATTGGCTTGAGAAGCCAGGGTAAGCTTTCGCCTTTGACTGACACTGAGATTGTACTTCCCTGCTATTTCAGAGTTCGAGACATGCAAAATGCAAAGGCACGCGTTCGGATGGCGAGGTCAGTCCGGCTCTCATTCTCAAATCAAAATTTCGTGCTTAAATACATTTTTTCAGCAAGCGGGCCAGGTCAAATCACTTTTGTTTATTCCGTCTCTTACTCTTGCTGACTGCACTCATAGCCTTAAAAAAATACATGCCTCTGCAGAGTTAACTATACACATCCCTTTGGTCAGTTCGCCCGTGCTTGATGGTCTCAATTCTCGCGATATCACTCCTGAGGTCAATGATGGATCTCTACTGACTATGGAGAATGACTTTCCCTGTTCCTGCGACACGCCAACCCTGCAAGACATTGAGAACATGGCCAACCAGTGGCAAAAGGGATGGGCCCGGAAGTCTGAACATGCATGGGATGATGTGTATGAAAACCTACTCAAAGGTGCGCAAAAGAAGGGAGGACTAGAGACTATCATTTTTCTTGACGAATGTGGTGCGCATGCTTGTGAGGGGAGGGGACTTCTCGAATGTGTGCAAAACATTGTACATACCAGCTGCCCGTATTGCAGGGAGTGCCTCAAACATGATATTATTCTACTGCATGATTTGCTCATTTGTATTGTTTTGGAGGTCAAATTCTTCGAAGTTAAGGTAGCTAACAGTAAAAATAAGTAGTTTGACTATATGATATGTCGAGCGATTATAGTGAATCCATAGTGAATTGATATCGAACACATAGCGAATTGATGGTGAACACATACCAGAATCCTTACATTATAGCGAACACATAGTGAATTGATATCGAACGCATGGCGAATTGATGGCGAACACATAGCGAATGTCATTGTATCTCTAGCATGTTGCACTACCATAGAATTCTAAACCACCAACTGCGTCCAAGGTTAGGTCATCTGTTATACTGAATGTGTGGTGAGTGCAGTGGACCTCGATTTAGGACTATGACTCTTGTATATCACTGGCTAATCGCTAATTACACTTGCGGGATACATGCAGACTATTAAGGTAATGCAACTATGCAGTCCAATGTCGTTCAATCACAGTTGCACATCTGCATCAATTTTGTAATCACGCGTAGTAGCTAGCACATTTCGTGATCCGAGCATAAAGATTCCATTGCTAAGGAATTACAAGCAAGTCATGTATATGTACACGGCTGAGATAGTGAACTACTATGAAGGTATCTAAAGTTCATAGTGTGTCATTGTCTCCGATAAGTCATCTACCTGCGACCACAAGTCATCCGAGTCAGCGGACCAAGAGGGGGAAGGTGGGGATGCAGGCAGCCAGAAAGGGCCACCCGGGGTTGGTACTGCTCGTACTCTACCTTCATTATATTGTACTGTATATACCTCGAGTGCCTTCTGGAATGAGGGGGTACCGCTTCTGAACGTTACCGCTCACAAAGTTGGTGCGTTCAGCCACGTCAGCCCTGATATGAGTGTCAATATTATTATAAGTGAGAGGTCGACAACGCTTACCAGTGATAGAAGATGCCTACTTCTTGGCCGACGGTAATTAACCAGAACCCTTCAGGTTCTAAACCAGCATGTGGGGGTGTGATATCGCTAGGTTTTGGTACCTGCATTGGAAGAAGTGCGACATTTGTAGAATGTTGCGCATGTGATGATGAACTCGAAGGCGGCAGATGGTCTTGTGCGTGGGAGCTAGTAGATAGATCGGAGTTTGGGATGGTTTGATTGACATGCAAGGAGTTGGTGTGTGATGCTTTGGAAAGGGTGATACTCTCTTCAACAGTCTTGCGCTTCCAGCTAATAGTATCCAACGATGAACCTGTTTGAGAGCATGAGCATGCGGGTGATTGTCAGATGATATAGACCTGCGACCCACCTGATACGGTTAAGCTTTCAACCAACTGACATAAGTCCCGGATGTGATCATCATGGCAAGAAACGACGGATGGTGAGGGAGTGCATGACATGGTGGATATAAGACACTTAAGGAAACAGTTAATTGAACGAGGGGGAATTGATGGAAATGTGCACTAATAACGTTTATGATTAGTCACACACAGCTCAATGTGCAAAAAATGTACCCATAGCTGGCTTGTATGAAAGAAAGAAAATGCGGAATCCAGGAGGACGTCAGACACAACGAGTTCGCACTAACCTGTCTTTGCGGTCTATCCGCCACATAGGCTCCTCGTGAGATAAGGATGGGCTTCCCACTAACCGTGTATCGAAGGTGATCAAACATAGAGTGTTGGTTCTGCAAGCAGCCAGCTGTAAACAGCGGCGGGAGACTCGCCTACAAGGTAAGCCTGGTCCAAGTGCTCAAAAAACAACCAGAACACTAACCTGGTTTATAGCAATGACAACCGAGGAGCGCCAAGCTCTGGAAGCTCTCAGAGACCCACCAACTAACCCACCTAACATTGCTGAGGACTCCGATGATTTCAATCTCGGCGACATCTGGGATGGTACTGACGCACTCCCCATTAGCCATGCTGGCGGAGAGTTCAGAGACCTGGCGAGAGGTGTTCTGGGTGAGGTCTGGAAATTGTGAGTGCATGTTAGCAGATAGTCAGCAACTGACACGCACATCAGAAAGGATCAAGATGGTGCTCACAGGGTTCAACGTGTTGACAATCGCACACGGCGTGATCGTGTTCTGCGAAGAAATCTCGCTTTCAATGAGCAAATACAAATAATGAGCGAATCATACCTTATATGGAGCCTGGAGAAATCGCAAAAGGGCTTCAAGAGTTTTTATGATTGCCTACGCAGCAAAGAGACTGAGGTGACCGATTTGAATGGTGGCCAATGGCCAGTGACAGTAGTAGACGCGTTCTGTGAGTTACTTGCTAGTTTCGGTGTTTGTGTTTATCACATCATTTGTTAAAGTTGCTGAGAAATTTGTACTGAAAATATCATCGACGGACCATACAATTGCTTCTGCACTTGTTCGTCAAGGCGTCATGCCCTGCTCCCCGATATCACCGGTGGCGGGCATAACATTAGAAGCCCTTGAGTTATATCGGGTGGCGCACCTCAGGAACCCTCACTTGTCAATCCAAGCCTTCGTCAAAACGATATGCAATTTACACGGGGGTACAATTTTAAGTTCTATTGTGCTCCATGCTAAACACATACACATACTACAGGTGGAATTCCATCGGCACATCTCATGTCAATTTTCAATTGCACTTGACATATATCTTCAAATCAGACGGGTTGTGGCCTCGCTCATCAACAAATCCCTCCGACGCGACTCGCCTGACTGGCGCCTCAAACACGCATGCCCTGCATGCACTTACATGCTAACTGACGAAGAGAAGCTACACTTCAAGATTCTCTATGCTATAGACGGGAATAACTCATTGAAATGAATTCTGTGACGCTCGCTTGATGATGACGACGACTCTCTTGGTCTATCGTCCGAACTTCCCACTGGCCAGGTACTCGTTAGTGACCGTTACCTATCTCGTAACTTTGTAGAGCAGTTTGCACGGGATACGCCATGTGATACGGGAGCCAATGTGAGTAATTGATGCGTACCTTTTGTAGTGACAACTAACACAGTCAGAGTCCGGCAGAGAACTCATGCGAAGGCCGGTGGAAAAATATGGACGATGCAAAGACAAAAAAGCTTGGGGTATTTATGACGAAACTGGTGTCTTCGTCGCCGTATGCCGCCACGGCTTTTGTTTACTTATCACAGACATGGTGCAGAGCGGGGAGCAGTGAGTAGTACTTAGTCTTTTTGTTTTATATTTCTAACAGGTATTCTAACAGTGCAAAATACCCCTTGGCTATTGTTGCCAAGCTGCTAGATGCATTTGGCAACGATTTGGGCAGTGGCTATGACATCGGCTGTCAGTTTTCAGACTACTCTCGACAACAGCTCTCTTGGTCCCCTGGCGCGCTCATTACGTCATAGTTCCCTGGTTGGCGTGTTTCACGGACATGCGCACAGGCGGTTATGTCAGCTTTTTTCATTAACAACTTACATCAAAGGCATTGGTATCAAAGATCTGGAGACTTGTGAGCGGACGTTCTCCAAGTCAAACTCCCTTGCATCGGCTCTACGGTATACTAGCGTTTTCCATCGTCAGCAGGCTATCGACTCATATTTCGAGCATAACAACGAGCTCGAGGTATATGGCAATCTTTGTACGTTGTTCTGTTTATCATAAGCGCTCGCTGACATAACTATTGGTTGGCTAGCAAATTTCTTGCATGGTAACTACAAACAAGCTCTCGAGATCATCGCCAATGGCGAAGCTGTCCTACCGAAGGTTATGCAAGAGCTCAAAGTCGAAGATGAGAGTGTCTTTGAATGTTGGCTCGAAGACGAGAAAATCTACCTTAAGGGTCTAACACGAGAGCCTGAAGAAGAGACACTTCAAATGGAGTACTGGCAGAGATTAGTCAATCTTAGTGCAAGCAAGTAAGTTTTACTTTTGGTGTATGTATCTTGTAGTTACTGAAGCCCCCAAAAAACAGAGTTGCTCTTGACGCAGGAATGAACATGTTCGGAATGCACAATACTCCATCATATGGCAGACATTGGAAACACACGCAAGGTTGAAAGCATGCGGCGCCACGCTCTCGAGGACTATGAGAGAAACCTGAAGTTGGTTCAGTTATTAGAATGCAAACTCGGTATCATCGCTCGCTGGGTTCCAGAAGATGAAGAATGGCAGAAGGCAGGGAGACTCGTAGCTAATAGAAAGTATCAACGTGCCTTGGACCGTTTGGAAGGTTTGGTCGTGGCTCACATTTTCGAACTTGCGAAGATGAATAGGGCGGGGACAGGTGAGTTTGAGTCTAGTTTGGCTTGTTTCAGCTAACTCTATCTATGTTTCAAGGTTACAAACTGCGAGAACATATTGCGAGGGCCTTGCAGACGCGCTCTGCCGCCATCAGGTCCGCCCTCAACACATACAACAACCTTGCCAGTGTGGTGTACCCTCCCCGGCAAATACTCAAGTGGGAGGATGTTGTCGAGTATGCCTTTCTCGCTGACTTCGAGCTGCTACAAAAGACGCGCTCCAATGTCTCTCAATTACCTTGGTCATCACCAGCAGCTCGGAGTGGGATGGATCTTTATTTAAAATGTGTCGAGCACGCGAGGAGATTTGTCGTCTGAATATTGAGGTTCGCCGTCTAGTGACATATATACGAGATGAAGACAAGTATTTGCAGGTGTGCGAAGATCGACTCACAGTTGCTAACCCTGCCCTTGCCCATCAAATCGCTATACATCGGAACATTCGTGGCCGGTTCAACTCCCGCCATATCAAGCGGCTCGATGATATCTCAAAGCTTCCCGGCTTCAATGGTACACTCGTCCCTGGTCTAAGTGCTTGCACTGGTATCAGGGAGAGTGCCAGCGTGCCAGATCCTCTGATTCCCGCCAACGTGTTTGCTGCCCATATACCTGCACACAACCCTTCATCCCCTATAGGTGCGGATACTCAAGAGGATTTAGATGAGGAGGAGATCACAGAGGAGGTCGCAGAAGAAGCCTCGAGGAGTTTGCAGGACATTATCACCATCACTGCTGACTTCTCACAGCTCCAGGTTGTTGACAATGGTGAAGTAGAGGAGTAGTCTAGTTTATCCGTCATACTGTTGCAATGCACTTCTTTTATTATGCTTACTGTTAAGTATCAAAACACGCCTCCGATATGTTTGATTTATCGAGCTCGTCGTGTATGACAGCGAGCACGAAGGTTCACACGGCAGGCGCAAGATAGCCGATGCCAGGAACATTACCTACGTTAATGCCGACGTCCCACGCTGGCTTACCTAGCTAGGCCACAGTTCAAGTTGCTTGCTGTTATTATAAGTCACTCTTTATCCAAGAGTTATTGAAGGAGGCTTGGAAACGCTGGAACTCTGTTGTTTTAGACGTGCTAGCCCTATCTATAATCACGTCTAATTAGAGGCAATACGTGGGAGTCACAGGTGGATAATGGACCTTAGCAGCCTGTACTAGACCTAAAGCGGCACAGCCGCATATGAATTCCCCGCTTCGCCTGCCAAGTTGTCACGACGCACGAAGTGTCACAGAGTGTCACACGAATCGTTATGCCCGCCAATTACAACTCTGACATCAACGCCACCCGAGACACTGTGGATAGTAGTTCCAGTGAAATTCATTGGGTGAAATCATATGATAACGGTCTGAAACTCAGAGCATTAGGTGCTGAAATCAGGGTGCTGAAATTGCTGTTTTTTACTCTGAAATTTTACTCTGAAAAGATACTCTGAATTTATGTTAGAATGACAAGCAAAGCTATTGAACCATACCCTACGAACATCGCTTAACCCAATTTACCTATGATAGGTCATAATTTGCAAATGGCAGGAATTGAACCAAAGACCTCATGTTGATAGGTGCAGCGATCTAACCACTAAGCCATAAGCCCTGTACAATATATACATGGTGACACCAATATATACCAAAACGATGTCATAACAAAAATGTGAAAATTCTGCTGTGACGGTGCCAGGTCATTCAATTATCGAGCTCCACAGCAGATTGATCTCCTGAGCTAAAATGCTAGTAGGATTGGAGTATGGTGCTGAATTCTGATTCAGTATATTTTCCACTGAAATTCAAAATCAGCGCTCCAATGAAATTAACTGCATGCAATTTCAGTGGAAGTTACTCTGAAACATTCAGCATCAGCGCATTTTCCAGTGATTTTCATTGAAACTACTATCTACAGTGGAGACCGCACACATTTCCCGCTAAGATGCATACTTCTGCTTTGATTCACCCAAAATTGAAAATTGTAAGACAGTACTTGTTAAGTTAAACACAAGACGGACAGATCTATCATCCGACGCTTGATGAATGCTAGGGGAACAAGAACGCGACTATACTCCGAGATGTTGAGTGCTTTTGGTACCGAGTCGACAGCTGGTTGGAAATACGAATGTTCAGTAGTTCCACACTAAATTTCTCATAGATCTTAGCTGGAAAAACTGCTGGCATCACGTACGCAAGAAGAATTTCGAAGCACAATGTTCAGCACATAAAAGCCAGCCGTCTTCCCATTGTTTCCTACAGAATTAGCTGATCACTGTATCACACAAGTCATAAACAATGCATTTCATCCTCATCCTCATCGTCGTTGCTGCTTTAACATCATCAACCTCTGCCATCCCCACTCACGCATGTCCCAGTACTTGCTTCAGTGATGCAGAGTGCCAGGTCTGCGATATGGCATGCGTGAGTATTAGTAGTTTTCCTAGGTTTGACCTTTGATAACATGCCAGTGACTCGCCTGCGCAGTACCCCGAATTGGCCTTCTGCGGAGTGAGTTGTATTTCTGCTTTCACATCGGTGCAGTGTGGCCGTTGGCACTGACACGTGAATCATTCTAGTGATTTGTAGTGTTGATCAACACACCGTCAGGGCAGCATTGGTGGAGTTGGCGTAATTTTCGTTCGATTGGGAAATGTTAGATATGACGTGTAAGAACACTTATTACTGTGCATACCAGTCCACAGCGGAGCGTCAGTGACTGTTGCTCCTGAGTAGATGAGCCTGAGCCTGTAATGGTACGATTGTAAGTATGTGCGAACCATAGACCAATACATACACACTAAATAGGCCTAATGTGAGTGGGAAAGCGATTTTTCCAGTCATTGCGAGCTTCGGCAGGATGGGTCCCGGCAGGCAAAATACGCGATAAACGCAGAATCATAGACGGGTCTGTAGATTATGTTCGTATATTTGACGAAAGTATATGTACGCACGATATCGATTGCAGATGGGCCTAGCTTCAACTTTTGACTCATCTCAACGATGACACTGTGACTGCATCCATCTCTTCCAAGACATCTCCTTGGAAGGAGAGGGGAACTCAGACTGTGTATCTGGAAAGGCGCTCCGAGCAAATTACCATAGCCACCATGAACACTTCTATTCATGCAGCGAGGTTGTTGCGGTTGTGGTTGTACTTGTGATTGCCCAGGAACATTGGCCGGCACCTGAGATAGAAATGACATCAAACAGTTAAAAACGCACCTGCCTGTGGGCGAGTCTTCTAGAATGTGTCGAATTCTTCGTCAGGACGCGGTAAAGTTGCTCAAGTACTCTCCTCAGTCCGACCGTGAGCAACGTTAATGAGCATATGTGTAGATTTTTGATTCTGTGGGAGTTTAAGCTTTAAGGCACCACTCCACATCAGGAAAATACCCAAAACACCATAGCCCTGGTGACAGCTATATAGCACTATGTAGGCACTGTAGCACACTGTAGCACTCCATAGGCACCCTTTAAGCTACATAGACGTTTATAGTAAACGAGAGTGCTTAGTAGATTCTTGATCATGTTGGCAACACGATCAAGAATCTACTAAGCACTCTCGTTCTGAACCTTAGTAAATTGGTACCATGCGCGTGACTGGGATCAGAGTTTGAGTTAAGGGACATTGCACAGTGATGTACCCACCTAGTAGGACCTGGTCATTTGACTCAGATGATCTGTGAACAAAGGAATGTGAAGTCTCATACACTAATACAGAGGCATCTGACACAACTGAAGGGAGTAAGGAAGTAAATTGCAAGCGAGCGCACACATAGATGCACGAGCGTTTACAACCACTGCGCACCCCGACAGATGCGTACTAACGGTGTGTCGAAAGCAAAAGGGCGTGCTCAAGGAGACAAAGTAACTAGGAGAAAGCAAGGAGAACAGGCACACGGACTCAGACTGACCCAGACTAATGCCATATGGGAATATGTTTTCTTTTCAACAGAGTTGAGCCGCTACTGCTACAGTGGCTCCCAGCCTCATGTTTTGTCTTGTATCATGGTCCACCTTGTTATATCTGCCTGACATGATCATTGTATTACATACACTCCGTGATACACTACAGGTTGTGACATGTACAAAAGCTTGCGTGCACCGTGATCATCTCGGGCGGCGGCACATCGGCGTATGCAAAGGGTCGCACCGCATGGTCGCATGCAGATCAATTTCCCGGACAGCAAGGGTAATGTCAATGGATATTTGATGGTATGCTAGTTATGATGACAACACGCTAGTAGAGAATAACCAGGCGTTCCAGATATATGTGCGAGCTGCACCCTCGTTAATGAAGATAGACCATATGATAGGAGATGAATACACATATATATCAAGAAACCAGGAGAGGAAGACGTCACAGAATACGCGAGTCTTTGAAACTGTTCTGTAGGATCGTCTCCTTGACTGCATCGAAGACTAGTCGGAAGAGTGTGGTATCCGTCGTATCGGTGGCTTGCATCAAGCTAAGACACAGTGAATGGTGAGCGAAGTGTGATAAATGACACTTACTGAGGATAAACACTCAGGCGCGCCCGGTTGGCTTGCAGGAACTTCCATAGAATATATTTCGCTGCTTTGTTGACGTCTGTGCCGCCTGTATATTCTGGGAAGTATTTCTCGATCGGTGCCTGCAAAGCGTCAATGAATCTGCATGTGTTCGCAACGATAGATACATACCTTTAGTAGCTTTTTCTTAAAGACATCTATCTTGTTTAAAAATAAGATTATGAAAGTGTCCAAAAACCATCGGGAATTGACAACCGACTCGAATAGGATCAGTGATTCCTGCATGCGATTCTATTGACAAAATTAGTGACAGCTAAGAATCGTCCACGCACAAGACCTACCTGGTTCTTCCCTTCTAATAATTCTTGATTGTATTCCGATAATGCTGCACAGAAAATGATGCTTGGCACGTGTTCGAAATAATGTATCCACTTCCTCCGTTGTGAGAGCTGGATGCCGACGTCAATTATATGGATGCTATGAGACCACGATCAAAAACAGAACTTCGACATGCCGGTGTACTCACGAGAGTAGTCCCGCATTAAACCACATTGAGGTGATGCCGGTTGTCTTCGCCTGAGCTCGCAGTACATCATTTTCTGTTTGTATATAGTCGGGAGTGCCTATACGGAGCACTTCCGTAAAGAAACTGCGAATGGATACCATGAGTATTTGTAATGCAAGTGAATATAATTACTCAAGTACCCACTAGCTAGCTGAGTCCATAAGATGGAACTGGCTCGAACAGTCCATCACTTTGGGAATGATAGGATCTTGCCATAATTCATGAATGGCTCGTGCAATATCAGTGGAGAAAACAAAATCGGGAGTGCTTTCAACCCTGTATTCGACGATGCGTTTGGCAAATGTCTACTGAAAATGATAAATTAAGGAAGCAGAGAAAGCAGGAGAGAACATACCCAATTCGCAAATGTTACACATTCCACATTCATGTTATGCATCTGTCGGACAATGGCTTGCGCGGAGTCGAGAGTATTTCGATATATTGTCGGATGGAACATCATGAGTTCGTTCTTGGTGAAGCCATTCTGATGAGTTATTTTCATCTGCTTGACTATTGTCGACTTTCCAGATTCGCTGGCCCCTGAGGTTGGATATGAGCGGTAAGAACAAAGAGAGGGGGTTGAACAGATGAGGGTTGTTGAAGGAAATAGACCAAGTAGACGCAATCCCGGAAATTGTCTCGATCATAAAATAAAAAATGAAATAGACATAGCATGAGGCAGAAAGGGAGATACATACCGAGAAGAAGTATCTGATACTCCTTCCTAAACCTCCTAGAGTCTTCTTGTATTTGACGGTCAATAGCATCTGACCGTGCCTTGTCTTTTCTGTCTGAATGGTACCATGCTGATACATAGTTGCCCATGGATGCAGATAAATCAGTGATAAGTAAGTAATAGTAGTGTTGCAAGGGTGAGGGAGGGGGCCTGTTGGCCAGCTGAGCCTGAGAGACCCATGGCCAGTGGGATGTACGGAATGTTCTAATGGTTCCAATTCGGATGACCCTAGTAAATGAGTTGTAGGTGTCAGGCCTGTTACCACATCGGTTCCGAAAACAAGGTACTACTAGAAAAGGCCGAGCTTCGCCGGCAGCAACCTTGTTTGACAAGTTTTGTGTACTTATTGACACATTTTTGGGACAACGAATGGAATGCATGTGGATCAGCAATCATACATCAGCGGCATACTGGTATTACAACAAATATTCGAAGAGTGGCGAGCTGGAATCATATTCAAGAAAAACTGCCAACTTTGCTATCTGAACACAAAATGTGATACTAGAACAACACATTCAGACAGTTTCTGATAAATGATTGTGATCAATATTTGTGCAGCTTGGAAAATGTTATTTACCATTAGTCGTTGAAGATACATCAACATGTTTCTTTCCTTTGAAAGGTATATCTGATGAAGGTCCAGCACCGAGTTTGCATCGTTTCAGCGGACTGGAAGGCATGTTCGAAGGTGGCCATAACACGATCATCTCACGAAGAACAGCGTTGAAAATGTGACGCTTAGATTTTCTGATGTGATGGTGAAAAAATGCGAAGTGCACTTTGACCACAGCACCACATAATTTGGCCTCATATTGAGCTGGTGGGATGAGTTTACGATCAATTCCGTATGCCGGGAGAGGATTGATGATGTGTGTTTCCGCGAGGTTTGTAAGTTCGGCTTTGCAGCAATCCGCAACTGGCCAATTCAAGAGATCGAATTCTGAACCGAGGCTTGTAGCAGTCTCTGGTAGAGGGTACAGTCAGTTGCATGCTAATGGCTGGGAGGGCCAAATATAGTTTACCGGATGATGTGGCATCGTCTGCTATATCAGCAGCAAGTTCATCATCTGCGTTTTCGGTTGGTTTGAGCTGCAAAAGAAATTTTGAGTGTGTTGAGCTGTTGAGATTGATAAACATGGCTTACAGTGAATAAATGGTGAACGAGTTTAATGGACTCAACACCTACAGCTGTATGGACTGCGCTCAATGATTCAGCATCACGTTCTCGTCAAATCAGTTTCTCAAACCCCCGCAAGTTGTCGATGACAGTGGGAAAATCATCCGAAGAAAAGCTGAAGTCATGGTGACGAGTGGCCATCAAATGGCAGGAAAGTTTGACATCTGCAAATCTTCCATTGAACACATTTGCAGGATCGAACTTTGCATCAGGCGTGAAGTAGAAGTCTGATCGACTAATTTGAAATACTGCATGGAGAGTAAGTTCATCGGATCCGGCAGTGTGTTTTTGTATCAAAACATCACCCTCGCGCCCTCCTTGAAAATATTTGACTTTAGAGGCAAGGTTCTGTGTAGCAAGATAAAACCCCCCGTCTTGACGGTTGAGCTTTTCAAGGATGGTTGAACTTGGGGCAGTTGTGAGGTTTGTCGTTGAAGAAGTCACTGGACTCGGAGTAGTGGATGACTCGGCATGGGAGGAAGTATCTTTGGATGCAGACGGCTTTGGTTTAAGCAGGACCATGATTGGGGAAGAGTTAATGAGCAGACTACGAGATTAAAGGGCAGCTTATATGTCAATTTGTGACTGAGTCCACTAAAAAGGAATGATTTTGCCATCAGCTGAATGTGCCAAATACAAAGTTTAGAAGTTCCGAGTCTAACTCTCAAAGAACATAGTGAGGAAAAACAAGCTTTCGATCCGTGTTAATCGGCGTCAAGAACTAGAGGTTCGAGATTAGGTTTTTCTGTGAGGAAGACATATGAGCATGGTCCCTGCATGGATCAATAGCATCACCTGGTTTAGGTCTTTTGTTTGAGGTCCTGAAGAGAAAGCGTGAACATGGTCCCTGCACGGATCAACACTATTGTCTTGTTTAGGTCTTTTGTTTGAGGTCTTGAGGAGAACATATGATCACGGATCAACACCATAGTCACGTAACACCACGGACCAGGATCGAATTTTTTCATCACTAGTAGGGATTAGTGTGTTGTCTTGAACAGGGAAACCAAGTGCTGCCAGTGTGCAATTATGAGCCACAATAGTATTAGTTCGACACGGGATTTGGGGAAGGGTGAAAGACTTGTGTGATGGGGCTGTGTGCAATTATGAGCCACAATAGTATTAGTTCGACACGGGATTTGGGGAAGGGTGAAAGACTTGCATGATGGGGCAGGATGAATTTACTTCCCATTATTTCAATGCCTCGTCGTGACAGCAAAGACATTGTTGGCGACTTAACCAAGGCAGAGCTGAATGCTGCAGTTCCTCTGAACACATTTAAAAAGAGTCTTCAAGTTTTGACGTGGCCACAAATCCTTGAGATTGTGCGTGGTTTACTGGAGGAGATATTGGATAAAATCCATCAAGCAGCGAACAAGAAGGAAGATGAGCGGGAGAAAGTACGGGAGCAAAAAGCAGAGAAAAAAAGACTGGAGGTAGCGGCACGGTGGGAGTTACTGAGAAAAAAGAAAGAAGATTCAAATGGAGTGCAACATCTTGAAAATGTTGTTCACATCAACAGCAAAATCTCCACAGAGGAAAATGATGACATGGGGGGTCGTGATCACTCACAATATCTTGCTTTACCATCGGAAGAAGAAGTGAAGAAATGTTTCCGGGCGTTTAGATCTGCGACATCAAACTCAGCCCTTGCAATGTTGATTTGCGTCGTTTGTGCGAGAGAGTTGATGAGTTATGAAGGTGTGTATGCGAATCCTGATAGACAAAGATTAGTTATTGATAATTCATTTGATTTGAGGCGAAGTACAAGTGCTGTGTCAAATTCCGAACATCAAGCATTTGCTTACAGTTTCTGTGGATTCCATTCCAAGATCAGTAACATTATGGGAGGGCATGTTGCTGCTTGATGGTCATATCAAAGGCAATGCACCAAATGCAACAGGTTGGGTGTGCTTCGAGTGTCACCGATCACTTGGAGGTGACACAATGCCAAAATTTGCACTCGCTAATAACATGTGGATTGGGCCTATCCCACACAAACTTGCCATTCTCACACTCCCAGAGGAACTCTTGATTTCTCGACATTTTCCTCGCTGCTACGTCTTCAAGTTGTATTCAAAAGATTCCCACGGCGGAAATCCTAGTCATATGCAGCGTGGCATGGCCGGCAATGCAACATTGTATGACATGAATACTGACGATGTTGCGAAGATGATAGGAGGACAATTTCTGCCACAGCCTGTGGACACATTGGCGTCAATAATTGGAATAACGTATATTGGAAAACAAGACTTGCCGAAGGATTGGTTGAAGTCAACATTTTGTGTCCGTCGTGCTGTGGTTTTCAATGCACTTGTGTGGTTGAAGGCCAACAATCCATTGTATGCGGATATTCAGATATCGGAAGACTTGCTTGCACGACTTCCAGAGGATGAAGTTCCTGAAGAAATCATCTCGATCATTCGCCATGAGGCTAGTGATGATGTTGCGATGCGTGAAAGTGAGGGCTATGTACCCAGTGAGTACACATGGAGCCGAAGGTGAGCAAGTGGCTTATGATCAACGTGAACATCATATTTATTTGGAATACAAAGCACTGGATGATCAGATAATGCTGGAATTGCAAGGTCAAGGAACCTTGAATGCAGGGAATCACGATGTTGAAGGTCTGAGTCCTGATAGTCGTGATGGTAACCATTCTGAATGACATCGTTTATGTAGGCAGCAGTGTCATCCCATTGCAATTTCTTGGGATCACTGACACGGAGCTTAGCAAATTGCCACTGAATGACTTGATGAAATACGCACTTATGAATCTGGATGACAATGAAGGAGGATATGCTGTTCGCCATAGTCACAATCCTGTGTCAGATTTTGCTCGTGATCGAGGAGGAAAAGAGTCAAATAGGATTAATCCATTGGCTGCTACCTATCCGAAGCTTTTTCCATATGGTGTTGGAGGCATTGAAGCAATGCGGACAAAATCTGTTGGATTTGATGAACATGTTCGATGGGCATTGCAATATCACGATCGTCGGTTCCGCACTCATCATTCATTTCCCTTTGTCGCTTTCAGGATCATCCAGAAACGTAAAGCACTCCAATCTGCTCAGATTCAGATGCGACGAAAAGATTTCGAGCGCGATGCGTTCATAATCAACTCACTTATGGTGGCAGACCTTAGGCAAGCAGAGAAGGAGGAAGCAGATAACAAATTCATTTCAAATCCTCGAGTTCGAATCCTGCGGAAACACGTATTTGCCATGTCAGGTCAAGTTGTTGGATCTGATAATGCCCGGGCTCGGTATCGCGGACAAATGTGGGGGACATGTTTGTGTCTCTGTGGACCAAGTCTTTGGATGACAATAAATCCAAGTGACACACACGACCCCATTGCACAAGCCTTCACAGGAGAAACGATTAATCTGGATGACTTCGACCTTCGTGCTGGTCCAGATAGCAACCAACGAGCTCAAAATATTGCCAGGGATCCATTCGCAGCTGCGAAGTATTTCTTTTTTATCATCAAGGCCATTCTTTTGCACCTTTTCCAAATCAATGCAACAAGTCATCAGGTGCATAGCGAGATGGGGGTACTTGGGTGAATCAGTGGATATTTTGGAGTTATCGAGGCACAAGGGCGAGGGACCCTGCATGTTCATATGATGGTCTGGCTACAGCACACTCCAAACATGGTGGAGATGCATGCTCTGTTGCACGATGACAGTTTCTGTGCACGTGTGCGGAACTATATCCAACAAAACATTCGCGCACATGTCGACGGTTTAGATGAAGAGACCATTCGGTCAATGCCGAAAGAGAGCGGTTTGCCTTATTCGCATCCTCCAAATCCTGACTTGGGTACCTGGCAGGCGGAGAGTCAAGATGTTGAACATCGTGTTGTTAGGTCTCAGCAAGTGCACACGTGCAGTAGGGCCACTTGTCTGAGATTTAACAGGCATGGGCAGCTGGTTTGCAAGAGACGGGCACCATGGCAGTTGTCACCAGTTGATGTCATTGACGAACATGGCAGATGGAGTCCAAAGCGGACCTACGCATTTCTCAACAACTACTGTCCAGCCATTACCACGACGCTCCGTTGCAATAACGACATCAAGCTTCTCACAAATGGTAGCGAAACAAAAGATGCAGCTTGGTATCTCACAGGTTATTCAACGAAGAAGCAAAACAAAAACAATAATGTTTCTGCTCTCATGGCAAACACACTGTTGTACCATCAAGGGCACTCAAACCATCTTGATGGCACCCTCGATCGTAATCGTCTTCTGCTGTTTCGCTGCCAACATGCCATAAATCGGGAAATGGAAATGTCTGGTCCACAAGTGATGGCATACCTTATGAACTGGGGAGACATCATTTGCTCGCACCATTATGTGCCATTATACTGGTTCGCACTTAAATCACATTTACTAGAGGCATTCCCGGAGCTAAAGGAGGACAAAACTCGGTAAGACATTATCTGATACATTGTGTCTTACTGAGGCTGGATTTGTGAGGTTTAGGAACAAGAACGTGAACTCAGAGTCGATGCCTGAGACAGATGAGCAAGCAGGAACTGATTCTGGTCCAAAGATTGGAGACTCAGGTGTATATGACTTTCAGTTTGAAGAAGACCCAGCTGTAAGTCATTTATGTCAGTTTTCATTTCATGGTTAGATGATTTGCATAGGACATGATTACCTTGGAAGTTGGTGTTGGTGGCCGACTTCACGTCCGTTCGCAGTTTGAAGATTATGAATTACATGGCAATGACCTCGACTCATATTCATATTTTCGATTTGTTATCAACACCTACGAAGAGGGGATCGCATCCGCAGAACGTGGAGGAGTTGAAAATGGAGCTTCCACATGTTCTTCAATACCAAAACGAGGTCGGCACAAAAATCAACACAGTAATTACCTCGCAGAGCATCCAAAGCATCTCACTCACCAACGTGTCATTCGCTCACAAGGTCATAACACATTGCCAGACATTGTTGGTCCCTTCTTTCCACGCAACGACCCAAGATGCCAAGAATTATATTACACATCAATCCTTGCCTTGCTGTTACCATGGTGTTCTATCAAAGATCTCAGAACTGATTTTGAATCATGGGACAATGTATTCACAGATTTTCTTATACACGCCTCGTCACAAGACAAAGACGTCATTGCTGGTATTCAATACTACTATGACTGCAAGACCGCCGCAGATAATTCTCGTGTTCGTGAAGATCAAGAATCAGGATCTGTCGAACATCGTGAACCACGCAATCAGCAGCTATAATAGATGAAGAGGAAGATGAGAATGAAGGAATCTCAGTGGAATTGACAATTGAGGACTTACGTGCTTATGAAGAATCACAAAAAAATTATCGAGAGGAGGCACACGGTCTTGTTGCAGTTGCCGTTGGACATTTGAAGGGAGTTTTTGCCAAGGAAACAGATTCATGGGGTGTTGGAGTGTCGAAAGTTGGTATGGCAAGCGGTGATGATTATTGTCGGCTCCAACAGTGGCAGACAGCAATGGCAGATGAAACGAACAAGCTTGACAAAGGTTGCAACAGTGCTACGGCCGTGGATGATGGAAATTCCAGTGGGGACGTTGTAGAGACTTGTGTTTCTCCAGGCTCATATGGGCCAAATTCACACTTTTTCACGACACCCTCGATATCCATGCAATGCGCCTTCTAATCCGAAACGCGCCTCGAACGCGACAAACGCGCTTTCGCGCTAGCGCGTTTCTACCCATACACACTTTCGCATATCGAAGTATCCACATTCCTGCCATCGTGTTTCGTCGTGTTTCGTCTTGGTTGCGTTTCGTGTTCTGTCGTGTTTCGCGTTTCATCTTATTCGCGTTTTGTCGCGTTTTGTCTTGATCGTGTTTCGTGTTCTGTCGCGTTTCGTGTTTCGTCTTATTCGCGTTTTGTCGTGTTTCGTCTTGGTCGTGTTTCGTGTTTCGTCGTGTTCTGTCGCGTTTCGCCTTTGTCGCATTTCACGCTGTCGCGTTTTTCGCATTGCGCCTTGCCTTCTCTCATCCTCGCATTGACGAACCCTCGCTACTGCCTGCTCGCACCTTCCCGGTTACGCACATATGCGCCTTGGTGCGTACCAGCGCGTTTGAGCGCGTTACATCAGGCTTCATCGCACTTCCCTAGGATCCGTCGCCCATCCTCCGCATGTCCTGTCCTAGTCCTCCAAGGTCCATTGGTGCGTGCTCTTTTCACTAGAACTCATATGGCGTCACACAGGCACTTGTACTTATCACTATGTTACATTATGGACCCTGACTTACCTCATCACCTACCTTAGTGCTCCCTACTCGGTTCCAAGGCCTGGGAACTCACTTAGCATACTTACACGTCAGCATGTTCATTTTTCTGTTACTCACTCCTGCTCGACTACCATCAAGTGTATAGTTGAAGTTTCCAGCAGAATACACTTGTTTCCCTCTAATTGGCACTTTGACACCTTTAAGTGTCTATTTCTACATCTATCAAAGCCCTGATTCTCCCATTTGATTGTCGCCTCTATTCGAAGCACTCCGCTGTGATCGCACGAAGAGCACATTGGTATTGAAGCGCGCTTTTCCGCACTTTCCGCCTTATCAGCGCGTTTAGGCGCTTTTAGCTAGCACTTTTCACTTTTGGGTACATTACTTGCCTTAGTGTCCCATCCAGGCTTGGAGACCGAACTGCTGGTTATAGATCCTCCTCACCTTTCACTAGAGGAATCTTTCTCAGTCGCAATCCCCTTGGGACGACTTTCCACTCGTATCCAGAGGAGCACTTGAGAGCCCACTTCCCACTCTTCCCCCTAGCATGCAGCTATCATTCCTCGCCCTCAACGTTATGATGCTTGATGATCTGGACAAGGAAGCTGGTGTCAACAATGGCAGAATAACATATTTGCACCCAGTAATCCAAGACACCCACCTATCTGCTGTTGATCCTTCGTCTCTGTTGAAGAATCAAAGACGAGCATACGACATCATCGATTGGCACCTGTCAGAGACATTAGCAGGATGAAATCCTCCACAGTGACTCATGCAGATACCTGGAGAAGGCGGAGTTGGCAAGTCAAAGACAATCCAGACCATCACCGAAAATTTCCAAAGTAGGGGTGTGGACTCGATCCTCGTAAAGGCAGCTTATACTGGTATTGCTGCATCAATTCCTCTGAACGGTCGGGAACAAGGCGTGAAATCACTAAAGAAACTTGCCACATTTTGGAAAGATAAACGGTATCTCATCATTGACGAGTTATCTATGATTTCTCGCAAATTCTTCGCCAAACTTTCCACATCTATCAGGAAAGGGAAGTCATTAGCAGGAGAAAAGGGTGAAGATAGACCTTTTGGTGGAGTCAATGTGATCGTTGTCGGGGATTTCCATCAGTTTCCTCCTGTCGCAAGGGGGAAGAGTGCAGCACTATATTATCCATGCAACCCTTCTAAAGATTCAGCCGAAGAAATGTTGGGGCGGAAGATATACGAACAATTTACAACAGTTGTTCGTCTAAAGGAACAAGTCCGTGTCACTGATCCACAATGGAATGACCTCCTTCGTCACATCCGGCATGGTAGCTGTGGTCATCAGCATATCGAGTTGCTTCGTTCCCTCATAATCACAAACTCCCAATGCCCACCCACAGATTTCAGTTCTTTGCCATGGAATGATGCTGTTTTGGTCACTCCTCGTCATGCCGTTCGTTGCCAATGGAATTCAAAAATCACCAAAAACTACTGCAGACAAAGTCACAATCAGTTGTTCATCTGCCGAGCATTGGACATGGTGCGAGGGCGGAGACTGACATTAGAGGAAAGTTTTGCAGTCGCTACGAAGCCCAAGGGATTTCAAGCTACTTGGAACAAGCGTGCTTCATTATCGAACATGGTAGAGATTGCAGTTGGCATGAAGGTTATGGTGACCTTCAATGTCAAAACAGATCTGGACATCACAAACGGGGCGAGAGGCGAATTAGTGGACATTGTCTTGGACGAACGGGAGTCGAGATTTTCACCTACAAAGGCTGTTGTGGAGTTGGAATACCCTCCGGTATATGTCCTGATCAAATTGAACCGCACAAAAGTCAGACAACTCGAAAATCTGGAACCAGGAGTCATACCACTGGTCCCAATGCAACGGACATTTCATGTCACAATTGGTGGTCGTGAAGAGGTAGTAACACAAACGCAGCTGCCGTTAACACCGGCCTATGCATTTACAGACTATCGATCACAGGGTCAAACAATTGACAACGCTATTATTGATATCGGAACACCACCCAGTGGAGAACTTACTCCGTTCAGCATATACATTGCATTATCTCGAGGACACGGTCGAGATAATATTCGTCTTCTTCGGGATTTTGATGAAAAGTTATTGACAAGTCATCCCAACGAATACCTTCGAGTTGAGGATCGGCGATTGGTGGAACTTGACGAGGCAACAGAGAAGTGGTGGAGAACACACGTAAATGTAAATTAGAGTCAGTAAGAACAGGGCAATCTGATACTACAAAGCAAGAGGCCAGCTACGAGTGTGATTAGGCAGTGCGAGCTCCACCTATTTTACACCGTTCGCCACCCGGTTACACCAAAGGCAGTTACTAGGTGAGGTGGGTGGAGCTGCGAGCACCGTTCACATTATCGTACGATGCCCGTGTCGCCTAGTGATAAGTAAGAGAAGCAGATGCCGATTTGCCGGAGTGGACGTGAGTTATCGAAAAAAGACTGGCTATCATTAGTTAATTGTTTGGCTCTTTCGCACGATCGTATTGTTGTGGAACACCACAGCCACAATTGTCAGTTGATAGTGACCTTGTATGAACAAGGTGATCACTCCTGGGAATCTGCAACTGGGTGCATGTAATATGCAAAATGTTCAAAACGCCTCAATGCGCTGCTTGCATCACCTCGAAAAGAGTCAGGTGCATGTAGGCTACTTAGAGATGATGTGCTGTCCAAGTAGAATAAAAATTTCTCGGGTGTTGTAGCTGTGAGAGACGGAATAGTGGTGATTTGCAACCTTGTATATATAATCATAAACGATCCAGATCCCATAGATCCTAGAGATATTCAAAAAGTTACACCTGGAGCATATTAAACACCTTGTCAGGGTGTCAGAACACAATTTCGATAGAGGTCATTCTCTTGTTTGAAGATGCTATAGACAGAAGATTGACGACATGTATGAAAGTTAAGCGTGACAGCAGATAGGAGAGACAATTTCCAACAACTGCACGATGTCGGACCACGCACAAGCATCTACTAGTCAATCGAAATCGTCCGACGTCAAACTAGCTGTTGCATCTGCTTGTACGAGCAGTGTATCCTTCGTCTTCATGGAATCCTTGCTTCCCGAGTTCGAAAGCTCTACGCCGACCGGAGTGAGTTCCCTGGGCGCAGGAAACTGAATCTTGACTATGTTCATCATGGAGCTGGTCCTCAATATTCAATGATCGATGA